TATTATTATTATTATTATTATTATTATTATTATTATTATTATTATTATCATCATCATCATCATCATCATCATCATCATCATCATCATCATCATCATCATCATCATCTCTATCTCTGATGGCCTGGATGTTCTTTCAAAATGAAAAGTAGTAAATGTAATGGTTCCCTCCTGGGCTTGACCTTTTGGCTGTAGATAATGGTTCTCACTTGAAATCCCTTCTGAGTCCTTTTGAGAGGGAAGCATAAATAGGCAAGAGGGGTAGCCACAACCACAGCACTGAAATATTGCCCCCTTTTTAATAAGCAGTGACATCCCTGCCCTGGTCCTTCAGCTGGAAAATGTGCATGGTTATTCTATTGTAGGTGTAATTATCTATTTTACCATCTAAAAATAATTGCCTGCCTAATTATTTTAGGTTTCCAAAGAAAATGATTGGCTTCCCGGATACTGTACTTCAAAGAGGTTTGAACAACAGATACTGTGTTGTACATGTCCAGGATGACGAACGTGAGAAACGTCTGACAATCATTTCTTCCCTGCTTGACGATTCAGAGAGAGAGCTGTGCATCCTTCAGGATGACTGGTAATTCCTGGGCAAATACACTGGACATTTGCCTGGCAAATTTCTAACTATATCCCTATTGTGAAAAATTAATTTTGTGATAAATTTATAAGAATAATGGTCAGAGGTTTTATGGAAACTTTCTCATGGTTTGTTCTTACTGTATACTTATACTTGATGAAACCCTCCTGTGAGCTAATAAACTACACTGCTCAAAAAAATAAAGGGAACACAAAAATAAGACATCCTAGATCTGAATGAATGAAATATTCTTATTAAATATTTTGTTCATTACATAGTTGAGTGTGCTGACAACAAAATCACACAAAAATTATCAATGGAAATCAATTTAGCAACCCATGGAGGTCTGGATTTGGAGTTACACTCAAAATTAAAGTGGAAAAAAAACACTACAGGCTGATCCAGCTTTGATGTAATGTCCTTAAAACAAGTCAAAATGAGGCTCAGTAGTGTGTATGGCCTCCATGTGCCTGTATGACCTCCCAACAACGCCTGGGCATGCTCCTGATGAGGTGGTGGATGGTCTCCTGAGGGATCTCCTCCCACACCTGGACTAAAGCATCCCCCAACTCCTGGACAGTCTGGTGCAATGTGGCGTTGGTGGATGGAGCGAGACATGATGTCCCAGATGTGCTCAATTGGATTCACGTCTGGGGAACAGGCGGGCCAGTCAATAGCATCAATGCCTTCATCTTGCAGGAACTGCTGACACACTCCAGCCACATGAGGTCTAGCATTGTTGTGCATTAGGAGGAACCCAGGGCCAACCGCACCAGCATATGGTCTCACAAGGGGTCTGAGGATCTCATCTTGGTACCTAATGGCAGTCAGGCTACCTCTGGCGAGCACATGGAGGGCTGTGCGGCCCCCTAAAGAAATGCCACCCCACACCATTACTGACCTACTGCCAAACCGGTCATGCTGGAGGATGCTGCAGGCAGCAGAACATTCTCCACGGCGTCTCCAGACTCTGTCACGTCTGTCACATGTGCTCAGTGTGAACCTGCTTTCATCGGTGAAGAGCACAAGGCGCCAGTGGCGAATTTGCCAATCTTGGTGTTCTCTGGCGAATGCCAAACATCCTGCATGGTGTTGGGCTGGAAGCACAACCCCCACCTGTGGACGTTGGGCCCTCATACCACCCTCATGGAGTCTGTTTCTGACCGTTTGAGCAGCCACATGCACATTTGTGGCCCGCTGGAGGTCATTTTGCAGGGCTCTGGCAGTGCTCCTCCTGTCCCTCCTTGCACAAAGGTGGAAGTAGTGGTCCTGATGCTGGGTTGTTGCCCTCCTACGGCCTCCTCCACGTCTCCTGATGTACTGGCCTGCCTCCTGGTAGCGCCTCCATGCTCTGGACACTATGCTGACAGACACAGCAAACCTTCTTGCCACAGCTCGCATTGATGTGCCATCCTGGATGAGCTGCACTACCTGAGCCACTTGTGTGGGTTGTAGACTCTGTCTCATGATACCACTAGAATGAAAGCACCGCCAGCATTCAAAAGTGACCAAACCATCAGCCAGAGAGCATAGGAACTGAGAAGTGGTCTGTGGTCACCACCTGCAGAACCACTCCTTTATTGGGGATGTCTTGCTAACTGCCTATGCTTTCCACCTGTTGTCTATTCCATTTGCACAACAGCATGTGAAATTGATTGTCAATCATTGTTGCTACCTAAGTGGACAGTTTGATTTCACAGAAGTGTGATTGACTTGGAGTTACATTGTGTTGTTTAAGTGTTCCCTTTATTTTTTTGAGCAGTGTATATTTTTGGGGTGTGTTGGACCAAGGCTAAGCACAAAGGCTGGATTCACATAGTGGGTTAGCATAAAATATGATTAACAGTTTTGTGATTCAACATGTCCTGTGAACATAACTCATAAGCAAATTGGAAAAAGTATGCTGTTTAGTTCTCTTAGCCACCCTTCTGTCGTATTATTTATTTATGTAACTAGTATTTATTTTGTATTAATTTTTGCTGACATTTTTTGACATATTTTTTCATTTCATATCTACTTACCCGTGCCCTGTTTTATAATTTCAATTTATGTAGTTGACTGTCTCCATTCATGATTCTGGGTGGCTAACCACAATTAAAAACATAATAAAATACATAATTCTAAAAACAGCACACAATTATAAGCAGTTGAGATAAAAAAACAGAACCACCACCACCAAATTAGTATAACTATTGCACAGAGTGCTCCACACATTTGATTTCACAAATCTCAGTGATAAAAATGTCTTTAGGTTTTGTTAAAGATAAGCAGGATTGATGCCATTCTGATCTCTGAGGGGATGATATTCCAAGCAATAGAATATAATATCACTATTTGTATTATTTATGCTAATTATAATTAAAATGGCTCTAATCTAAGCAATTTTGAATGCAGATAAATCTATGCCTTTTAGCCAGTAAACTATCCAGTTTTGTTAGGCTAGCAGATTTGGGTTTCAAAAATCCACATAACGGGGAAATTTTTTTTGTCCCGTTTATGTGGGGATTTGTATGTGCACATACACAGAGAAGAGGTGGATCACTCACAGAAATCATAGTTTATTTTCTTTATTTTATCTTCTATTTCCAAACATATTTGCTCCCTTTAATCTTTTTTAAAGGATTTCTGTTCCAGTCCAGCCTGGTGATATAATTCACTTAGAAGGAGAGTGTAATTCTGGTATCTGGATAATAAATGCAGATTCAGGATACTTAATTCTGTATCCAGATGTGTTACTTTCTGGCACAACTGTATCAAAGAGCATTCAGTGCATGAGAAGAGCTATACTGAGTGAAAAATTCCGGGTAAGTAAAATAAATAAATATTGGATTTCTAAATGTTTAAAAGCAGCTGTCATGTTAATAATTTTTATCATAAATAAAATAACAATTTACTTTAGCTCCAAAATGGTGCTGGATTATTGGATGGATTCATTTGCTGGTGTTTCAGATGACATTTGATTAAATGTATGCTTCATATATTATTACTTTACAAGTGAACCTATAAGGATAGAGGTCTTCTGAATGCTTTTGTTACTTCCACATGTATATTGGAGGTGATGGACCCTGATTCTTTTATAAGGCAGTAAATAGAGGCAGTACTTGCCTGTGTTTTATCAGTTTCATCTGCCATGACAGCTGTGATTTTGTTGGATTAAAGCATGGGTGTCACATTGCTGTCATATGATGTTTCACAACATTTTCCCCATTTGTGTAGCTGGTGGGCGTGGCTGCATGTGATGCATCCAGCCCGTGGGCTACCAGTTTGACATCCCTGGATTAAAGCATGTGGCAGACTGTTTTATCTTGATAACTTTGTGATATGGCTGTTCCCATATTATTTGTTTGAAAAGATCATAATATCTGGGAGTTTATTTTTTAATATGGTTAAAAAATATGGTTGGGCCAGCAGAAGCCCTTTATGCTCCAGTCATCAGCCATGAGACTTTTAATATTTTCATGGAAGCAAAATATACATCTTTACAGTTTTTTTTCTTTATTCTAAAAATATAACAAAAACAGCACTATTGCACTTGGAGATTATAGATACTGATAAAAATGTACATTCAGACTTCAATTATCTGTTATTTTTGAAAGATTTATAATTAGAATAATAGAAAAATTGTAGAAAAATAATACTCAACTAAGAAACAGTCTTTATAATCTTATAATACAAGATAGCACATTCACTCCTTAGTTTTTTTAATATTCTTTTTTGCTATATGTTGTATGTTTTTCTATTCTTAGCTTTCTTGGCTTATTTCAAGCAGAGCCTTAGTTATCTCTGCTCAGAAATAAGTAACTGTGTTTAGTGACATACTAATAGTAAGTGTATGTATTGTACAGGCCTCGACCTTAGTATGAGCATAGTAAGGGGAGCATAGAATTTTGCAGATTAATTGATATGTAAGACAAATTTATGCAAATATTTTGAAAGTGGTTGTTTTGTTTTACAGAAATGTGAACGTACTTCACGCGCAATGCTGGTAGGCACAATTTTGCATGAAATTTTCCAGAAAGTGGGAATAAATTTTACACAGGAAAAAGTGAAAGAAATTGCTTTCTCAGCTGTTCATGGACCAAAGTATTTAAAAGAACTGTAAGGATTATCAATAAATAATTTTTCAGAACTATATTTTCTTAGTTTTAATACTTAGTGGAGACTAGTTTGTGTAGTGTTGTTGTGCTTTGCTACTGTTGACCATGTGAAAGCTGTTTCATTAGAACTCTATGAATCAAAGATTCACTTTGTGAAAATGTTTTCGGTTACCAGGTTTCTAGTATTCAGCTATCAATTCAGTTTACAATAGTGAAGCATTTTCCTTCTCATTATCATGATTGGGAATGTATGCTAAAATACTTTTCATATTTTCACATTCCTATTTTCCCTTCTTTTTTGATCTGGAATACACGAAGGACCCAGAGCAGTGTGGTGCTCTAAAGGTGAAGACCTAGGTTAGCAATAGATGTTTCTCTATCAGAGTGCAAAGAGAAAATATCTGCTGTGAACTCTGGAAAGGCATCAGGAAGAGCATCTGGCCAGTAAACTCTCAGCTTCACTCAGCCACCACAACCCCATCTTGAAGCAAAGAATTACAGGGTCATCAAAGAAAAGAAAAAAACATGGACCCGGGTCTCCATTCAGTCACCCAAAACCTTGGGTGTGATCCTTGAGTTCCTTTGGAAATTATTATTAACTCTACTTGGTTTCATAGATCCAGTGTGGTCTAGTGGTTAAAGCACCAGCCTCAAAAGCAGGAGAGCATGACTTCAAGTCTGCCTTAGCCATGGAAGCCAGCTGGATGACTTTGGGCCAGTAACTGTCAGTGCAGCTGAGGGTTACTGTGGGAAAAATAGGAGGAAGATATGTTTGGATATGTTTTCTGCCTTGAATTATTTATAAAAATAATAAAGGTGGAATACAAATAAATAAATAAAAAATTGAATTATCATTTTATTAATAACATTATTTTATGATCCTGACCCCTTTTTAATTTCTTATTGCTGACTTTTCGCTAAATGAAAAAAGCCAAATAACCTTTCTTGTCTACCTTATGTAAACTTATCGAACATTCTTCTTTCGCTCCTGAAGGTATCAGTTAAATCTGGAGCAAAAGGATATAATGCATGAGATTGAGGAATACTTCCCATCTTTTATTAAATGGGCAGAGGTCTATACATACAAACACAGCCAAAATAATGTGCAGTTAAAACCGTAAGTAATTGTTAATTGAACAAAAACAAACTTAACACGCTTTTTAGTGCAATGTTTCCCAGCCTTAATATTTACCACATTAAAAATTAAAATGAATGCATTCATAGAATTTGATTATTGAAACATGTAAAAATATTAAACCCTTAGATATTAACATAAATATTTCCCATTAAATATTTTAACAATAAATAATGAGTGTTTTAAATTTCTTCAAATATCTTTATTATTTGGCAAATAATTTTGATTTTCCAAATTCCTGAGCGGGTCTTGGGGAAGCTGCACTAAGTTATCCTGCAGTTTGGTTTTATATTACAAGGCATGATGTGGCCTGTATGTATTATGGCTTAGTGTAGCATAAACCCATCCAATTGTGCTTTATTCAATAAATTAATGTAAGCAAATCACCACAGCACAAATTTGTATACATGTCTTCAATTCCTTGCCCCCCCCCACAAATACACATTGTTAAATATTGTGTCACCTGAACTATCCAATGACAACACGTTTTCAAGCTTGTATTATTCATAGCTTTGCTGATGTTGTAGGCGAGCTATATTTAGTAGTCAAAAACTAGAAGCAGTTTGGTTATATCTTTTCCAGAAAATATCCAATTTTTGTTGTGATCTTTACAAAAGGCTGGTTCTGTTTATGAATGCACTGCATATTTATGCTGATGTGTTCTTTATTTCAGGAGCTAAACACAGACTAATAATAGCCCAAGTTGTTTAGACACATTTTCTTAGGCTGCGGTACTATTTCAGTCTTCTATTGAACAGGAATGAAGGATTTTAATTGTTCTTCCTTGTGTCTTTCATGAAATGCATAGTTAACAGTTTAAATTAACATATACAAATTGTTTTGTGACAGGCTAGGAGCTAAGTCCTGTTATAGTGTCAAAGTTACAGAAATCCTGGATGTTGAGGAGAATATCTGGTGCCCCAGGTTTGGCTTAAAGGGCAAGATCGATGTGACAGCTGGAGTAACCATTCATGAAAGATCTAAAACTCAGACAAAAATAATACCACTGGAGCTTAAAAGTGGAAAAGAATCTAACTCTGTAGAGCATAGAAGTCAGGTACATGTTGGAATATATACGGAATGTAAAGTTTAAATACATGAAGAATATAAGATTACACTATATATAAGAGCATCCTAATGGACATACTTGCAACGCATTTTGTAGATAATCTTCTGTGCTGGGCTGAATGATACTTTATTTCCATGATTTCCTGACATTGCCTTTTTGGTCTTCATAGTTGAAAGGTGCCAGGAATATCTCATTTGACATTCCTGGCAAGTTAGGAGAAGGCTGTGTCACCTATAACAGCCAGCTACTGGAGTCTGTTTAGTATAATGGTTAGAATATTTTTGAGGGAGGAATGTTTTCATCTAGGCAACGGCAAGCCATCTTCTGATGCAATTATATGAGATTGTTTCTGGGGTTAGAATTTACATAGCACTTACTCTGTATTGATGATCTTAGGATGGTCATGAATCAGAAAATACTGAATATTGAATTACTGTAGTTTGAATAATCTTTCTCAGTAATCTAAAATGCTGCACATGTCTTCACTTTGTTTCTATGTTTAATTTTCGGTTTTGTTTTAAATATTTTTTTAGGTTATTTTGTATTCCTTGCTGTGTCAAGAAAGGCGAGTTGATCCTGAAGGTGGATTTCTCTTATATTTGAAAACAGGCAATATGATTCCTGTCGTAGGAAGTCGTATGGATAGGAGAGGTAACTTTTGTGATAGCAAAAATATCTATTGCAACAGCCTCCTGCAACCCTTTGCCAGCAAAAATGGAGCTCGGGAGCCCATTTTCTTTGACAGAGCGCTCAGGCTGCCACAGGCACCCCCAACACGAGTGACATCGAGCTGGTCACACCCTAACCCTAACCCCTCCCCCCTCCTCAAGGTCAAACACAACCTTAATGCAGCCCTCAATGAAATCGAGTTTGATACCCCTGAGTTATGGCAAATCATCTTCATATATTACAGGGCTGTGCCTAATAGATAATGATCAGGACTTTGAACTGGGCCCAGAAGCCTTCTGTTCACCAATCCAGCAATCTTTCAGGGGGTGTTAATCTGTACTCTCAAAGTTGTCCTGTTAACCCAGAGAACTATATTTAATAAAGAGGTTGACTTGAGCCATGATGGAACTGTACTTAATAATTTGTTCATGTTCGGGTGAATGGAGGAATGAATTCATAGGGCCAGTCCTCAAATATACTAAATTGCCCAAGTTTTGCTGTATGTTTTTTTTTCATGCCCTTTACAATTGAGAATGTCTGAACTTGTTTCTCTTTTTCTCCTTTGCAGAACTGATTAAATTGAGAAATCAGCTGGCCTTCTATTTAATCCACAACACATATAAATCTATAGGAAAAAAGCAAACACAGCTTGCCCCTCTACCTCCTTTGATTAATGATAGCCAAGCATGTAGCTATTGCTCTCAGAAGCAGAACTGTATACTTTATAGTAGGTAAGTTTCTTTTAAAGAGGTTATATGAAAGTGTGCCTTAGTCCAGAATGGCTGATACCATAATTACAAGAATCATTCTTGGCTTTGATATAAGCAGTGATGGGATTCAGCCAGTTTGCACCACTTCAGGAGAACCAGTTGTTAACTTTCTGAGCAGTTTGGTGAACTGGTCATTGGAAGAAATCATTAGGGCAGAGAACCAGTTGTTAAATTATTTGAATCCCACCACTGGGTATAAGGAACCATGTAATAGAGCAGGGGTCTCCAAACTTGGCAACTTTAAGACTTGTGGACTTCAGTTCCCAGAATTCTCCAGCCAGCATAGTATAGCATAACTGGCTGGAGAATTCTGGGAGTTGAAGTCCACAAGTCTTAAAGTTGCCAAGTTTGGAGACCTCTAATAGAGGGTTGAACAGGAAAGCAGGAATCATGCAATCTAGATTTTTTTTCAGGTGGACTCATGCTTAGTTGTGTTTCAGGGCTGTAGAACACCAGAAAGATGTCTTAATACCTCCAGATGTGGTGGCTGCTACTGAAAAGGAGATCTGTCATTTAAAGCCTTCTCACTTGGAATATTTCCATCTCTGGTATCTAATGCTAACTTTAGAGTCCCAGTATAAAGATGGGAAAAAAGGGCGTAAAAATATATGGATGCTGCCTGCTGCAGAAAGGTAAGACAAAGACTTGAACAAGTATAAACAGTGAATTTTGTAAGCTCATTTATAAACTTTATTCTACACACTACAATAAAAAGAAATGGTATAGCTTGAGTTTTTCTCTAATGGAAGAAATCCAAACCCAGTTTATTCTTTGTTCTTGATATTTGCAGAGAAAAACATGGGGACTGCATTGGAAATATGATCAGAATAGAAAACGTAGTAGAAGTTTCGGATGGACAGTATCTGCATTGGTTCCAGCGTAGAGACGATTGTGTGCCAATCACAACTTTGATGGTTGGGGACAGAATTGTTCTAAGTGATGAAGACAACAATTTGCTTGGCTTATCTACTGGCTATATTCAGGAGGTTAATAGAACCAAACTTTCCTGCTTATTGGATAGGTATTAATTGCATTGTATTGCTTGCATTTGTATTTCACTTGCTGAGAATTTTAAAAAGCAACATTTTATAATTGCGGAATAAGATTACACGTCCCCGCTAATAAACAGTGATATTTCTATTTACTGTGACATTAGCAGATCTGTATATAGATACTTGCATGTCTGTCTATTGAAGCTGTTTTGTTAAGTATCAATACTACTTGTACTTCGGATTTCATTTAGCAAAATGTTTTTCTCTGGAGATGTGCGAATGTCAGGATGAGGTATGTTCCTGGTGAGAAATGGGACTTGCATAGAAGCTACTGTATCATAGTTGAAATGGCCAAAAGATTTAAAATATATTTTGTATGGACAGATGGTATTTGAACTTTTTGTGGAATTTTACTGGTTCTGTTTAATGTGTTTCAGGAATTTATCTCATCTCTCTGGGGATACTGTATATAGATTAGATCATGAGGAAGGAGCACTTGGCATAGAAGCTCCTTTAGCAAATCTTTCTAAATTAATGGAAAATTCTCCTGTCAGGTATTTTTCTGGTCTTTATTTCCACATAAGTAACATTACTCTTAGAAATATTCTACAGTTGACTGTTTCATCTTTCCTCTCTTCTCTTTTAGTGAAAAGCTTCGTAGCTTAATAATAGATTTCTGCAAGCCACAATTTGTTCAATACTTGAGTTCCGTCCTTCCTCCAGAAGCGAAGGACACGGTTGCAAACATTCTGAAAGGTACAGGGGACAAATGATTATTACTTATAATTTATTTATCATTTTTAAAAATTGCCCATCTCCCTCATAGAGGGAAAAATAATCTAGTTTCCAGAGCATTAAATTAATACCTTCCAGCTGCAAATTCTTTTGACACAAATATCTGTATACCTTCAACAATAATCTCATTCCGCAATATAATTACTTTATTCAGTAATGTTCATAAGCAGGCATATCTTTAAAAAATATCAATGCCACAGTATTGAAAAGTTATACAGGGTGTTGATGCAAAATTTAAATTCCAAGTTCATATGTTGTAATTGTAATTCTTACAAATACTATATGAAGGAGGGTAATTTTTTATGTTGGATTTTTAAGTGTATTCGTATATAGAATTTTCTGGGCTGAAGAAGCACTTTGAATTTCTCTTAAAGAGCCAATTATTGCCTGGTTTCTTTACGGTGGTTCACATTTCTACCTTTTTTGCAAATATCAGGACTTAGTGGTCAGATGTAAAGTAACTACAAGTAAGTCCACGGTTATTTCTCCAACTAGTACTCTCTGTCAAGCACTTTTTTACTAGTGGAACATCCCATGTGTGTGTTTTTTTTTAATGAGCATTTATTACTAATATTATTGTCAGAAAATTAATAGAGACAACATTTAATTTACAAATTTCCCTTTGCATGGAACAAGTATTAGTTGTAGCACAAGGGAGTGATTACATGACTCTAATATGTTTACAACAGCAGTGAATTAGTTCCAGGTTCAGTTCTTGGCAAGTAGGGGAAAAAAAGACTATGAGACTTTGAGGTAAATGGTTTTCCCTGGTTCCCTCACAGACATGCCTATTCTAGCAGAACCCTTTTGCCGTCTTCTTTGGAGAGTGCTATACAGGGAGTCCTCAACTTACAACCGTTTCTTTCGGGACTGTTAGAAGTTTCAGCACTGAAAAACTATCTTGCAACCTGGTCCTTGCACTTGTAACCACCACAGCATAGTCACATGATCAAAAGCCTGGCACTTGGCATCCTGCATGTGTTTACAATGGTTGCCCCTGTCTCAGGAGTCACAGGGTAGCCAGTTGTGACCTTCCCAGCTGGCTTCCATCTAACAAAGTCAATGGGGGAAAAAGCTGGTTTCACTTAATGACTACATGATTCACCTAACAGCTTCAGAGATTGACTTAACAACCATGGCAAAAATGGTTGTAAAATTGGGTGTGACTCACTTAACAACCGACATGCTTAGCAACAGAAATTCCAGTCCCCGTTATGATTGTAAGTTGAGGACTACCTGTACTGTATTCATTGGAACTGACTTATAGGATTAGATGGAAATATATTTTCTCTATATAGGGAACAAAGACTAAACGGACTTTTAAAGATAACATTCTAGCATGGATATTCAAATACTTTCTCTAGTAATGTTGTTTACAGAGAAGAAATAAAGTACAGTTTTAGTTAACATGGAGGGTTAATTGTTTTTCTCTTTGTCTGCTAAATCCTAGGCTTGAATAAACCCCAGAAACAAGCAATGAAACAAGTTCTCCTTTCGAAGGATTACACCCTGATTGTTGGTATGCCTGGAACAGGAAAGACTACGACGATTTGTGCTTTGGTAAGGTCTTGTATAAGCCTCTGATTTTGAAAAAGGATTAGCAACTGTCCCTTTGTTTAAAAGTTGGACCTGATGCTAGGGTAAATATGATAATTTTGATACTCAAATTGTAACATCTGAAATGTAAACGTTTAACAAAACAAACCAGGATGTGACTATGTTTTTAATGTGGACATTATATCTATCGAAGCAATGAATTCAGAGGTGGTATTCAGCAGGTTCTGACCAGTTCTGGAGAACCAGTAGCGGAAATTTTGAGTAGTTTGGGGAACCGGAAAATACCATCTCTGACTGGAGATTTTATAGTATCTCTTCCCCTGCCACGCCCACCAAGCCACATCCACTGAACCGGTGGTAAAAACATTTGAATCTCACCACTGAATGAATTCTTGACAGTTAAATCATTGAAAACTTCAGATCTGTATACTTGCAGCATATATAAATTCAATTTCACATTTTACCAATAGGGAAGTTCCAAACCCTCTCCAATATGGCAAAAAATATGTCAGAGCACATGGGCTAGTTGCTTCTGATTGTGAATAAATGTACCAACCCTCCATAATCTTCATTGTCTACATTAGAATGGGCAATCACAGAACATAGAATAATAGAGTTTGAAGGGACCTTGGAGGTCTTATAGTGCAACCCCCCAAGCAGGAGGCTCTATATCATTTCAGACAAATGATTGTCCAGTCGCTTTTTGAAAGTCTCCAGTGATAAAGCAACTGCAATTTCTTGAATTCCTGTTTGTTTTTATTTTTGGCCTGCAGAGCCATCTCTGACTATAGTTGCTGAAAACTAATGACCGTGTTTGGTCACTTTAAGATGGTAAGCAATAAATATGACCTGAAATAGGTTTAGTAACCACAATTGAACAATTTAAATTGAAATTGTCCACTCAACAAGTTACTTTTTCATCATTGCTGTGCGCAGTTGCTAAATGAGGCAGTTGCTAAACAAGGATTACCTGTATTTAAATCACGTTCTCCTACTTGCCATCTGCTTTGCATTGTAATCTACCCACTGCACTCACACTGCTATTGACTATCAAAAAGTTGCTCACCCCTGAACTTACATAGTGCATAGACCCTGACTTGCCAGAGACATGAGAATAGAGTTCTCTTGTTTTTCCACTCAGATTTCCTACAGTGTGGAAGAAATCTATACTTCCAAGAGTTGATATGGTCATTCATGCCCTAGTCACCTCCCATCTTGACTATTGCAACTCACTCTACATGGGGCTTCCCTTTTGAAATGCATCTGGAAGCTCCAGTTGGTTCAAAATGCAACACCCCACGTGGTTTTGTACAGCTCTCCATGCACATGTGTCACCTCTCCTGTGAGAGCTTGCATTGCAATTCAAAGTGCTGATTATCACCTTTCAAGCCCTTCATGGCTTGGGACCAGGTTACCTGAGGGACTGTCCCTTGCTGGTCACATCCACTCAATCCACTAGAGTGGAGAAGCAAGGAATATTGTGAGTCCCGTCCCCTAAGGAGGAGCACCTGGTGGGATCTGGAAGAAGGACCTTCCCTTCCTCTGGAACATCATCCCTCCAGAAATGAGACGGGCTCCTGCTCTGACACTCTTTTGTAAAGCCCTGAAGACGTGGTTTTCTCCACAAGCCTGAGGAACCTAGAATGGGATGGAGCCCATTAAATGAGTGATTTGAGTGCATGTTGTTGTTGTCAAGTGGGGGCGGGGGATTTATTATTTTTTTTTTTATTTTTGTTTTTCTACATTGTATTTTTTATTTTCTGTAAGACAACTAGAGTTGCTGTGAGCAAGTAGGTAGCTATGTAAATTCCCTACAATAAATATTTTTTAAAAAAATACATTTATATACAATTTGAATATGTACCTGGCAGCTAGTGAAAAATGATCAGGGTGAGATTGGCCTGTATAATTCTGTAGACTTTCTTAAAAACATTTTCTGAATGTAAGAGTTGATCCTTCTGATCTTCTCTCATATTACTCGGGTGGGGTGGGATAGAAATCAGTGCAGGGGAACTAAATAAGCAGGTTAAACTTGGTTTTTCCTTGGTTGTTTTCCCCATGTTTTAGGTTCGGATTCTTTCTGCTTGTGGCTTCAGCGTTCTCTTAACCAGTTTTACCCATACAGCAGTTGACAATATCCTTCTTAAGTTAGCCAAGTTCAAAGTAGGATTTTTGAGGCTAGGAAGAGCTCAGAAGGTTCATCCAGACATAAAGAGGTTTACAGAAGAAGAGATCTCCAGATCAAAGTGCATTAAAACTGTGGCTCAGTTGGAGGAACTATACCAAAGTCAGGTAAGGAAAATGCCTTACAGGAGTCTAGTGTTACTAAAAAGTATCTTTACTGGGAAGTTTATGTTGGTGGTATTATGTTGTTTTAATTTCATAATATGTATGCCCTAATTAAGAGATCATGTTTTAATCAGATGGATAGGAAAGATGCATTCATATTTACAACAAAGATATTGCATCTTTATTTATTTTTTTATATTATATATACATGATTTACAAAGGGGCTTTTAGCCATAGCTCCATTCTGCATGATTTTACTGCTGAAAAAGAGAATTGATCTCAGCATCCATGGTCAAGACTTTGATAAATTTGCAGTTTGGGGACTGCTTTTTCTTGCTTTATAGATGTGCAAAAGAAGATGGATTCGCCCACTCATAAACGACTTTCCTTCAAATTCTCAGGATCTGTAACGTAATCCACAGTTGCTGTGCTGGAAAGGAATCCCTGCAAATAACAAAAGCCACTTTGGGGCTCTGTAATTGGGCGTCTTTGCCACTAGATGATGCAAATTTTAACATGGAACCTGTTTGCTTTAGGATCTGCTTGTGAGATAATAAATGTATACTCCTAAGGATTTAAGGGAATTAGAGTTGTCCAAAGAATGCAGAGGTTGGCCAGCCTGTTATATATTCTACAAGATAAAAAATAATTCTCAGAGGTTATTATCAACAAACATACCAACATCTTACCATTTAAATTCCTGTTAAAAAAATCCATGACTGATAAATGGTTGCAGAGAAAGATTAACCTTTCCACTTCACCTTTGATCAACTTTATTTCCCTGCCACCAATTTCTTTAAAAGTTAGGAGGGAAAATAGGTAGGTATATAGACAGCTGGAATAATGAACTGAAGAAACTTCTTGGATGAGAAGCGAAATGTCTTCAAAGAAAAAAAAACAAAGTCCAGTTGCCTCTTAAAAAAAGCACCTTTGAGACAACCATGTCCTAGATCAGGGGTCCCCAACCACCGGTCCACGGACCGGTACCGGGCCGCGGAACAAGTCCCACCGGGCCGCTGGCTTGTTGGGCGCCGCCATCTTTTTTTTATGAAAAAGTGCTTCCGGTGAGCTTTTCCGGGTAGAAAGCTCACTGGAAGCACGTTTTCATCAAAAAAAGATGGCGGCGCCAGTGCTTCCGGTGAGCTTTTCCGGGTAGAAAGCTCACTGGAAGCACGTTTTCATCAAAAAAAGATGGCGGCGCCCAGCTGATGCCGGTACCGGGCCGCGGCACCCAGCTGATGCCGGTACCGGGCCGCGGCGTAAAAAAGGTTGGGGATCACTGTCCTAGATGACTGAGAATCTCCATACAGAGCTGGAATAATAAATTATACTTGGCTCCCTCTCAAATTCTGACAGCAGGGAGATATTAAGAACTGCATTTGATAACTTGTACAGGGAACACAATCTAGTATTGTTTGAATGTGAATGCATTTCTGATTTAGGGCTGAAAATAGGTGCCGTCTGTCATACTTTCTCATCTTTTTCCAGCAAGTCATTGCAACAACATGCATGGGAATAAACCACCCAATCTTCACCCGTAAACGTTTTGACTTCTGCATAGTGGACGAGGCTTCTCAGATTAGCCAGCCCATCTGCCTTGGGCCTCTTTTCTATTCACTTCGATTTGTGCTGGTGGGAGACCATCAGCAGTTGCCTCCACTTGTGCAAAATCCAGAAGCCAGGTAGGCAGCATGACAGGCTATAGGAATTCACACTTACTGTTAGCCATGCTACGTGCAAGTCACTGACTGAATTTTTATTGCAGAGAACTTGGCATGAGTGAAAGTTTATTCAAAAGGCTAGAACAAAATAAGAATGCTGTTGTGCATCTAACTGTCCAGTACCGAATGAACAGGTATGTGTGTAAGCATGAAACATATTGTTTCACTGCACCACAAGACTGATAAAATCTAACTTTTTTTTTTTCATTTTAAATCCCTTTAGTAAAATTATGTCATTGAGCAACAAGCTGGTGTACGATGGTAAACTGGAATGTGGCTCTGAAAAGGTGTCCAAAGCTATCATTGACTTGCCTAACTTAAAAAAACTAAAATTGGAAGAGTCTTTTTCAGAAACGTGGCTAAAAGAAACACTTGATCCAAATAATCCCGTTTGTTTCCTTAACACAGAGAAGGTAACTTTTATTGGGCCTCTCTTCACATCCACAATGCAATTTGATGTTGCGTTTTGTTCTGTTTCTCAGGAATTTAAAGGTGCAGAATTAATATGAAGAGGTCTCTGACAGTTGGCTTTAACTTCCACCAGGAGAATAGTGGCAGGGACCATGTGGTATTGCATCTTTGAGTAAGATAAAGTTGGCCTCTCTGTTTCATCCAGTGCAAATCTCTCTCTTATCCCAACAGTCTTATCAGTTATTTTTACTTTCTTCCTTCTATCCTCTATCCTGTCTTTTTTTCTTTTCCATTTCCCTTGATATAGTAATTAAATATTATTTATTTTTCTTCCTTGAGAATGGTTCATTTAAAAGCAGATTGCTTTACAAAATGTCCAAATGTTCAATTCCAATAAGATTGGCATTAGTGTAAACTTTGTCCCCTTCAAGCATATTTATATAATCTACCTGCAGCAGTTTTTGCTATAGATCAATATAGTCTTCCTAAAATAACAAACAGCTTGAGATTTTCATTGCTGTGGATTTAAATGTAATATATGATGTTGGTCTTTAATCTAGGTTGAAGCCCCAGAACAGACAGAAAAAGGTTGTATAAGTAACATGACTGAAGCCAGACTGGTGTTCTTCCTCACATCCATGTTTTTAAAGGTATTTTTCTTGTATTTAACATTATGGAGATTTTATTTATGCATTTATGTTGAGATACTTGTTAAATAAAGAGGCATACTAGTAGTCTTCACCTATTATTCAGTCCTTCAGATTGCCTGGCCTCAATATGTTTTGGGGGTGTGATGAGGTTGGTGATTCATGCCTGGAAGTTGGTTTTGTCCCTTGGAATTCATGACACGTGAAGACCAAGCTTCCAATTTCCTCTAATCACAAGTTGTTGAAAATTCATTTTATTTGCAGAAAAAAAGCTGGCAATTTGTTATAGTTTTCTGAGGTGAAGTAGAATGCAGTTTCCCTTCTTTTCCTGTGGTGGTGAAGCAGATCTGTTTTTCCTCTTTCTTCCCTTTAAAAAATGGGAAGTTTGTAGGGGTGCAAGGCGGCAGGATTTATACATAGATGTGGACAAAGCACCTGAAAGCCTCCTCCTTTTAGGAGCCTTCAGGTGGGAAAAGGGGCTTATCTCTGGTTTAGTGCATAATAGATCAATCTTGACATGTATCCAGAATTAAAGCAGAAATCACTGTACGGTGTAATTGTAGTAACTGGGATTATAATGTTCGCAAAGTGCAAAGCTTCCACTGAATTTTGCTCTTAACAGAAGACGCTTGCACTGAGTTCAAAAATGATTTGGAAGAAAAACTTCTGGTTTTTTTTTGCAAAACATGATAAGACAAGCTGCTGCTGCGAGAATTGCATTTACTTTAATGATTGGATTCTTTAAAGCAGCAGAATCTTGTTTTTCCCCCAACTTGTGCGGGTCAGTGTGCTTTAATGAACGGCAAGTAGGTGTTGTGTTCTTGTCTGAGATACAAAGCACATATTTCACATGATATCTAAAGAACTTATATATGTTCCTATATAACCCAGATCTTGGGATAGTTATCAACAAAACTACATTTCTGTGATAAATAAGCTAAAAAGTGTATGGGAGAAAAATATGCCAATAATTAATGTTAATAGGGTGAGTGGGCATAGTTTTTGCAGCTAGAGGACACATTTGATTTCCTTAATTTATTTCAGTTGCAAGGAATATGGGAGCAATGTCAGAGAAGGAAGTGGCTTCTTGTGGACCTCAGATTGCTCACTCCAGGCTTAAGAGAAGATAAAAGCAGAAGGTGGACTGAAGATACCTAAGAATAAAGTTGCATTAAAATCAAAAGTAATTAGATTAAGAGGGCATTAGTGGAGGTGAAAGAGAAGTTCATTTAGCCTATTATATCATCAGTGGGTAGCACAAATTGGATGTGATCCTTTTAAAACATTTCTATATGTTATTTTCCTAAATCTCCTAAAAGGATGAGTGTTTGGAATGCATTCTGTCACAGCCATCTGGGATTCCATAGTTCTAACGCTGGGATTATTTTTTAGGCTGGTTGTAAGCCTTCAGATATTGGAGTCATATCTCCATATAGACATCAATTGAAGATCATTACCGATTTGATGGCAGGCTCGTACCTCACTGATGTGGAAGTAAATACTGTGGACAGATACCAGGGGAGAGACAAGAGTATAATTATAGTATCCTTTGTAAGAAACAATGTGGATGGAAATGTGAGTAGAATCATACACCTGTTCATAGTTCCAAGTATTTTAGGTTTGTTGTCCAACATTTAACTTATATACGGTGCAGTGCTTTAAAAGGTTCATGTACTAGCAATTAGTATAATTCTTTTTTTTCTACAAGAAATCTAATTGGATCTTAATATAAGTGATTGGTTTTCATTTTGGATATTTATATACGGCTGTTTTGCATGCTAGCCAAATACACTATGGATAAGACAGTGGGGCAAGTAAGTGTAGCCTTAGTAGTCCTGTTTTTGTACTGATACTCTGTGCATCAGAGATGCTTTCTTTTAGTTGTTAGTGGCCAAACCAAAAATTCAGCATGCCCCTTTCGTTTGCGGTGGTGCTCTGACTTAGAAATAAAAGAGATATAAATAATAGTTTGATATAAAACGAATAAGAATAGGCACAATAAGACAGATCAAAAAATAAAATACAGAGTTAAGGAAGAAAAAAAACAAAAGCAAACTGAAAAAAATAATTAGGAGTGAGTTATTTACTCTTTTTGTGCACACATGTATATGATAAAATGATGAATACAATCATTTAAAACATCCATTCTTGGTCTTTTTTACCCAGAATAGCATTTGCACAAATAACAATTAATAGAAAAATGTTAATATATTATAGAAAGCGACCAGATTTGAATATATTTATTTTGAATTCAAATGATTTTCAAAATATTTTCTATCAATTTTTCAACAACTGCCCACATTTTAAACAAGAGTGATCCAACTAACATTGTTTGATTTTCCTGATTTCTTTACAACTTTTCACCAACAAAGCTTAGCATCTTTAGTATCAAAAGTTGGCAATATGTAAAAAAATGCTTACCTTTGACCAGGTCTATAAAGACTACAGTTTGTAATGTTGTATTAAAAGAGTGGAGTGCCGTTTGTGCTTAAGACAAAGTGTTTTAAATTACATGAAAGAAATACTGATTTTAAATGAAGCAGAGGGTTACCATTCTGCTGGGGTTAGTTAATAGTTAATCATTGATGAGATCTATGTAACCAATGCAAAGGAATGATTACTATTTGAAAGGAATGGAGAACTTGTGAGCATTCTTTGTGCTTCCCTTTTAAAAAAATAATAGGTTGGAGAACTTCTGAAGGACTGGAGACGTCTTAATGTTGCCATTACAAGAGCTAAGCATAAGTTGGTTATGCTGGGCTGTGTACCGTCCCTTTGTCTCTATCCTCCTCTAAAGAAATTACTTCATCATCTGAAGAATGAAGCTATGATATCCTTTCTTTTTCATTTTCATTTATTGTCTTTTTGGCCAGACTGCTTAGATGAAGACTTTTCAGGCCTCCTAAATGAAGATGAAAATTTAATCAACTGTTAAATCTGGTCTGAAAGGACAAGGTTGCTTCTTTAACACTTTCATTTAAAGAAAATGAAACCAGATTTGGGAATCTCTTCTCAGAAAATTTGAAGTAAAGTGTGTTCTGATTAGGCAAAAATAAAAATATTTAGCTAAAAGGAACAATGGGACTCAGCTTTTGGATAGTATGGGAATTGTATCCCTTGTTTTTTGGTCTCGGAGCCTCAAAACTAGATAAAGCGATTGTCTGTTTTGAATATTGTCTGCTATCTCCCTACACAAACCTTAGCTAAAAGGATAATGGTTTTTTAAAATCATCTCTCTGGAGCTGCTGGTGCTTTGGGAGGTGAGGGAAAAGTTAAGCTATTAGTCTAGCTAGCAGGAAGAATTTGAGAAAGACAAAATGCTCTACCAAATCAGTGTCCAAAATGTATGCAACACAGTGCTATCACATCACTATTCTTAGGACACTACTGTAGTTGGTGAGCAAATGGGGAATTATTACTGGGGAATTATTGCTGACCAAGTCATCCACCTAGCACAGAAATGGTTTGCTTTCCTTTTGCTTGCTAGGATAGTGCAAAATGCCTGTGGAAGGAACCAAGAATGTCCCATTAACTAGAGAGTTTCCAGTATTACTTAGTGTAAGAGATGGGGTGAAAGGTTGGACAGCTGGCACGCTTATCAGTGATGTCTTAGATGCAGCACCAATTTTGACTGTCACAAACCTGTGCTTAATTAACCCCACCTTCCCTCACTCCTCCCATCAACTACCTCCAGGGAATGGCAGTTGGGGCAAAAACTGCTTGCTGCTTCTAATACCATTTCCTTGCTTTTGTGGCACTCACTCATGCGCAAGACAAGACTTTGATAAGGCAAGATTGCATTTGCATTGAAATCCATCTTTCCATCTATGGAGGCAATTTTAGCATGGTCTGCTCATTCTTCCGGAGCCTTAAGCTCCAGGGACCGGTGGCCATGGAGGGCGATTTTTCCACGGCGTGTGTGTGTGTGTGTGTGTGTGGTTTTGCACACGGCCTGCATCCTGTGCGTATGCAGATAGGGCTTCATTTGCTTGCATGGCCCAGTTCCTGGTGGGCCTTGGGCTGGTGCCAGTCCACAGTCTGCGGGTTGTGGATGTCTGTGTTAAATGTTACAGAAATTGGATTTAAATAGAAGTTGACCCTTAATAGAGATGGAAACACTGCAAATGCTGATAAAAGGAGTTAATATGGGGTTTATAATGATCTGAAAAGTATGCAGGCCAGGGTATTCTTACATGGGATTGAGTTTCTTAAACATATTGGCAGCAATAGATTGTGTTTCTTATGTGTCTTTTTTTAAATTAATGATGGGAATTTAACAGTTCTGAGAAGATGCTTCCTCTTTTGCTCCATGTTTCATTTTATAGGTAGTCCTCACTTACTGACCGCAGTTGGGATTGGCACCTCTGTTGCTAAGTGACATAGTTGTAAATTGAAACACATGGCTGCTTCTGACTTATGATTGCAGTTTGTCACTTCTGGTTATGTTCTTTAAGTGCATCACCCACTGTTCTTAAGTGTGACATCATGTAGCTGTGACTTGCAACTTCCTGCTTCCCTATTGATTTTGCTTGTTAGAAGCCAGTTGTGAAGGTTGCAAATAATGATGATGGGTTGCTGTGACTGTCATAAATGCACACCAGTTTCCAAGTGCCTGAATGACAGTTACGTGACTGCAGGGACACCATAACTTTGAATGATCACTGAATTGGTCAGTTAGTGTGGATTACCTATATATGTAATGATTCAAACTATGGGATGGTGTAAGTCTGATACCTAAATATTACATAGGTTAAGCATTAAAACCTGACACAATTTTCATAGTACTTGAACTAAAGACATGTTTTTCTTAATGTTTCTTACATTTTCAACATTCCTTTAGGAGCATGTGAACATGTTTTACATTGTAAACTCTTATGACAAACAAACAAACACTGAGGAGAAAATCTTCACTATTATGAAGCTGATACACTGAATTCTGCCAGAAGGTGCTAAACTGGATTGTTCCAGCTTGTTTTACATACTAATGATGCCTTAAAAAACTCTTTGGCATTTTAAAAATAGATCTTAAAGCATTATCACAGTATATCTATTTGTATTTTTCCCATTTTGAAAAACAATATGTAATTAAGTATTTTGAATTCCTTTTATTGAGATTTTGTGCTCACAAGTTGTGAGTAGCTTTAGCTTTTTATACAGAAATGTTAAAGTATGCAGGTTTCACTTCTCACTTCAGTTAAGCATGAATTAATCTAACTCCTCCACTGTTAAAATTGGTTTGTTTGTAGTATATCTTCCTCTATGTCATAACTATTCAAGAAACCTTCTAGATATTGTTGTCTCAAAGCCTGATCCCCACTTAAGAATGATCCCAGCCCTTGTTAAACATTCATTTTAAGAGAAATATTTATTTGGCATTGCAATGATGTAATTTTAGGAAGGATGTTTGAAATGCTCGTTTCTAATGTTAACATAATTTTGGGGGGGAAATAGAACTGTGCACCTCTAGTTCATTGCATGTTCTAATACCATTTTATTGAAGCAGTGTACGAATTCAATTTTATGTGTATGGAAATATATCCTACACTAAAGCTACCTCTTGGACGATATATTTAACTTTCCTTTGGATTTGATTGTTATATCAAGCTCCAAACTGCACTAAAATCAAATTCTTTTCTACGCGTATTTTTGTAATATTTTTTACCTTGTGTATTGAGTTCTTAAATTCTCATCTGTTTTTATAGTACCTGTAATAAAATTAATTGACATAGGCATATACTTTTGCATTTATTGGTATATCTTATATTATAAATCTCATCTGCCATTAGACTATAGCAGCCTTCCAAACATGGTTAAAAACAGCCACTCCTAATGAATGAAAACATACAATCTTTTTTGTAGCTAGGTAAGGTTTTTTTTTTGCCTCTCCTCTGAAATGGTTGAAGAAATGACCAATACAGATAAACACGAGTTGTTGGGCTAGCAAGTTATTTGGTGGGTGATTTTTAAACCCCTTTTAAACAAATATATCTTTATTGCATTCTCTCTTGGATGTCTTTTCAGGGACAGCATCCCAGTTGTGGGGGAGGCTCAATACCAAAAGTGACAGGGCCATAGTTTCCTAGATGTGGGGGACTCTACAGACAGTGATTTATGCCTTGGTCATCTCATTGCTTGATTACTGCAATGGACTCTATATGGAGCTGCCCTTGAAGACTACCCAAAAGGTTCACCTGGTACAATTTAGCAATAATGGGCATAAACTGCACTGGCTGCTACCATAGTTTGCTTCCAGGTATGATTCAAGGCGCTGGTCACTACCTATAGTCCTTCCAAAGGATTTGAGGGATCACCTGTCTCCCATAGTGTCTGCCCAACTGGTTTGATCTGGCAGGGTTGGCACCCTACAAGTTTCATATCAGGATCCTGGAAGGACATCTTCACTTTAGCAAAACCTGCCCTCTAGGTGGAGGTCCTCCGAGATTCAAATGCCACCACCCTGCTGAGTTTTCCAGGCTTTTTTATGAGGACGATCTTCCTTTTCTTGGTTCCCATCGTAGTTTGGTTTCTCTGCCATGTTTGTTTGTATTTCATTTAATAACTTTATTATTATTTCAGTTCATATAAATCTGTCTTTTCCCTTTTAAACCCATCTGCTCAATCTAAGATGTCCCCTGCACCCCAGGCACACAAAACTGAAAATTTTTATTAGAGTAAGAGAAACAACTAGTACAGGTTGCTGGTTGCTCTTTGTAGGCAGGGATCATTCAGAGATTCTCTGACAGGTATTTTGGGGTCTTGTTTGCACTGAAGAAAAGCACCAACAGAACATCAATGTACCTTTTTCTTGAAAAACAAGTACTGTTGCAGTTCACAAAACCAAACTATACTTTCTCTTCAGAACAATTTCCAAACACCCTATTTTTGCTGGGCATTTCCTTTATTGCTTTTTGCAGTAATCCTGGTGGGTAGAATCCACTCTAAAAAACTGAACACTGAGGAGAATTGGAAAAGGTGGCATCTCTGGCAATAAAACAAAACCCCAATAAAGGACAGAAGTCCGTTTTTAAAAAATGAATCTAAAGAGTAGCTTTCTGAAATAAAGGACCTATATCCTTTGAAGCTACAGGAGAGACCAAACATCTGGTTGCTACAGACGTGTGTACCTGACCAGGTCTTTGCCAAACACTTGCCAGGTTTTTTTCCTAAACAAAGTGTGTCATTGGGTTCGTGTGGAACCTATTTTTTAAAACACTGGTTTGGTTTGGCATCCTTGAAAACAAGAAGGACAGGGCCAGTTGCGGCTTGTGTTCTGCCAGTCGTGCCTTTTTTTTTTTTTTTAGGTTCAAAATCGGAGGCCTTAAAAGCAGCACCCGGTTGCGCCCGGGACCCGAACTCTTCCCGCGCCGGCTCCAGCGCCTTGCAATGCCGCGTCGGTCTTGGGCACGGCGCCATCTCGGTCCTCCGGCCGCGAGAGGCGCAGCGACCCAGGCTGAGGGGAAAAAACGGGAGGAGGCGGCGGCGATGGGCGATGAAGAGGGCTGGAAAAGGGCGGTGAAAGCAGCCAAGGCTGGATCCGCGCTGAGCTGCTCGGGCAGCTGCTGCTCTTCGCCGGCCATGGGTAAGGCGCAAGGGCGGCGGCCGGGCTGGGCGGGGAGACGGGAGGGCTGAGGGGAGCCTTCTGGCTCGACCGGCATTCCCCAGGCACCAGAGGCGGTGCTGCTCTTCTCCGCTTGGCTGAGGGGAGAGGGGGGGCGGCAAAATGGCTGGAGAGGGGCTGCAACCGAGGCCGCCTTTCCAGCCACTGCTGGGTACCAACAGCCAGTCGGCCGCAGCAGGTACTTTTGCCTGGGCACCGTCAGCCCCTCGAAGCCGCGCGTGTCTCTCTGGGGTTGCGTGGCGAGGGTCGAAGTCCGCAGTCCTCTCGGAGACCGCCGGCAACGCCTGGCCAGCCGTCGGCGTCCTGCCCTTCTTCATCTCGCCCCGCGGCTTCCAGGCCGGCCGGACCCGGGATCTCCCCGGGCGCAGGATCTGGCACTGCCGTGTGTGTGTGTATGGATGTGAGGTGTGTGTGTGGGGACTTTCCCTTCTGCCTCGCTTTCCTCGCGTGGTTCTCCCCGCAGCAGCAGGGACTTTGTGAGGCAAGCGAAAAAGGGGGGAGCCGGAGGCGTTTGCCGGGAGCTCGGAAGAAAGGCGGCTCCCCGCAGCCCCAGAAGTCGCTTTTGCTAGGCGGGGTGGTTCCCAAAGCCTGGGGCTCTTTGCAAAGAGCGGTGCGCCTCGTCGGTCGGCCCTCCTCGGCTTAAAACTCCCCGGGAGAAAACGAGGCGGCTTTGAGCCGGTGAGGATGCTGATTTGAAGGGGGGGGGGGGAGGAGATCTGTTTTTCTGTCCTCACCCACGACCGCAATTCTGGAGCCCAAATCAACGCGTTTTAAGATCTGGCACACCTGTCCTGCCAACGGGAAAACGATCTGATGCAGTGAGGGCCAGCAGGGACGCTGGGCCAATTCATGGAGATTTGCTTATTGCTGGCTACACTTTGAGGTGGTTGTGATTGTCCCCTAAACCCCAAGCAGAGTGCATTTAATTGCAAGTTGCTAGGGAATCATCGTCCTTCCCTTGAGAGCTTCCAAAATCACATTTGGTGGATTACTGGGTGCCAAGCCTGGGTGGGAAAGAATATTCCCACCACCAGAGTCTCCTGTTCTGGCCAGGGTTATTTTCAGCAACAACAATGATAAGCATATTGGTGATAGCAGCAAATAGTAAACCATCATATGGAATAATAATAAATAATAATAATAATAATAATAATAATAATAATAATAATAATAATAATAATAATAATAATAAATAATAATAAATAATAACAACAATAACAACAATAACAACAATCATCACCATCATCATCATCATCATAAAAAAAGTCTGAAAAGTGAACATTTCAGTATCCAGAGACAGCAGCATAGAAAAGAATGAACTGGAGAAAAATCATAAAATAGAAAGATCTGCAGATAGAAGCAGAATGGCTGTGGCAAAAGAAACCCAAAACATCTGAAGCATTACTAAAACAGCATCCTCGTTGACAATTCATCATCAGTCAATTGCAAAAGGCAGCTTCACTTGGAACAGCTTACAACCTTGCGATGGTATCTTCATTGCCATCAAACAATATGTGCCTATCCCAGTTCTTGGGAAGTACTCAGTAGGTGGATAAACATGCCTTTCTTCATTACAAACATAATGATTAGGTTAACTGTGAGCCACAAGGTAAATACTTCATCCTAACCACTTGGTTTTAGTTTAAAGCCTTAACATAAACCACTCAATTTAAGTATAAATCTCTTCTTTGAGATGTCAACATTTAAATTTTATAAACCGACTAAAAAAAAACAAAAAAATAATAATCATGCTTCTCCATTCTGTGAAATGGATGTATTCTAGGAAACAACCATCACATGATGTGTCATTGTTAAAATGCTTGTCAGAACTAAATTGGAATAGGGTTTTAGCAAATATTGCAACATTGTTGATACAACTTCTTACTGCTGGCTTTGCTGGAAATACCCCATTTTTCTTAGCACAGTGCTGTCTGTTGCTTTGATGTTTCCCACCCTTTTACTTTCTTAGATTCAGACATAGCTGTTGTGCCTTAATCAGTAAAATACGTTCCTTAATCAATTATTTCTCTCTCTCTCTTTTTAAGCTGTGAAAGACCCCCTGGCAATTGAAAGAACAAATCTATTGAACATGGCTAAACTGAGTATAAAGGGACTCATTGAATCTGCTCTAAGCTTTGGGCGAACTCTTGATTCTGATTATCCACCTCTCCAGCAGTTTTTTGTTGTCATGGAACATTGCCTCAAACATGGCCTAAAAGGTATTTTGGGGTGATTGTCTTTTCATCTCATTTTTGTTCTATATTTGGCCACTTGAGAGGGCCAACTTGGACTGGCTACATTATTTGCATTGAGAAATAAATATTGTTTTAAATCACAGCATATTTTTCTCAGCCTCAGCAACTTTAAGATATGTGGACTTAACTCCCAGAATTCCAGTTACTGAGATTAAGAATCACTGGTCCAGTGTGTGTGCTAGCCTACCCGTGTTCACTTTATTTGTCCTGCAGTTCTAGTGCAAACTTTCCTTTCTAAATCAATTCAGAAGGAAGCTACGACTTCCTCTGTTGAGTTCATCAGTATTCAAGAGAGCAATTTTTACTTCATTGCCAGTTTTACTTCCTTGGATTCTGAACAACTCATAAATTTGGTTCATTTGTTTTGACCAGCTTGTTCTCATTATTTGTTGGCTGTCTAGAAGTGTGATCTTGACTTTTGCTTACTTTTTCTTCACTTGTTATTGGGTACAGTTGTAAGTATAGTTTCATGGCTGGCTGCAGTGGCTGTAAAAAAATAATCACTGACATGTCATTAAATTAAGCTTGTTGATGCTCTATAAAATATTAATGTTTATAAATATCCCCAAGGCAGGTAGTCCTCAATTTACAATCATTTGTTTAATGACTGAAGTTACAAAGGCACTGAAAAAAGTGACTTATGACTGTTTTTCACACTTAATGACCGTTGCAGACTCCCATGGTCACATTGTCAAACTTCAGACATGTGGCACCTGGCTTGTATTTATGACTGCAATCTCCTGGGGTCATGTGATCACCTTTTGCGACCTTCTGACAAGCAAAGTCAATGGGAAACCCAAATTAACTTAACAACTGTGTTGCTAACTTAAAAACTTGACTAATGAGGCAAGAAAGGTAGTAAAAACGGGGCAAAACTTACCTAACAACTGTTTCGCTTAGCAATGGAAATTTTGAGGTCAGTTAAGGACCACCTGTATTTGTATGTGTCTGTCCAGTAAGTATCTCAGATGCCTAGAGAACAAATGTATTAAATGTTCCAAGAAAGTAAAATAGAGTGTAAAAAGTCAAAATGTGTTTATGTTTCCCTCCTAGTAAAGAAATCTTTTCTAAGTTATAATAAAACAATATGGGGCCCTCTGGAACTTGTAGAGAAATTATATCCAGAAGCTGAGGAGATCGCTGCTAGCGTTAGAGATTTACCTGGTCTCAAGTAAGTTGTTATACTGAAATATTTTCTGCACTGCTTTCCATACATAAATCATGAGAATGAAATGAACAAGAATCCATCTTCCACAGTTAAAATGTATGTAACTTTTCTTAACCTTATAGAATATTCTGTAGGTGAAATAACATCGCTATTCAAAATTGTAACAAAAGACATGGGGTTGTATCTGATGCAAATAAGATAAGATAGAAATTCTACCAGATTCAGATTATTTGCCCATTATTGTCTAAACTGGAAGTAGTTTTCCCAGATTTTTGAGGCAACGTTTTCCAATTAATACCATAGAGTGCCAAAACTTGAAGCTGGGTTCTTATTCATCCAGAGGTCTGTTCTCCCATTGAGCTGTATTCCTTTGCAACTGCCAGTATTCAAAAGGGGACCCGACAATGGGACTATTCGTGTTAAAGTACAATCCATCAATTTCTGACCCAGCAGAAAAGTTGGTTGTATAAAATTTGCTATTCTGATTCCTGAGCCCTCTACTACTCTGGTATTAAGGCCAGACACCGGAGCGTTCCTGTTTTAAAGGGGGATTTTGTTGCATGTTTCAACTGACATTGCCTGATGGGGAAGCAACCATCCATCACTCCCTCACACGAGGCAAGCTGGACAGGTGCTTGAAATGGCAGATCCCATCATCCTTCCAGTTGCTCCAAATAGCCCTCTGACAGGTTGTAAATGGGAAAGAGGGGTGCTAGATAAAGTGGAAACGAGGGAACTCCATCTTTGATTAGTGCTGCAAGAGAATGCTGGCAGCAAGTCTGCTTGTCTTTTTGTGGTGGATCTCAGCCCTGATCACGAATGGAACCACATTCCTGGTGGATTATGCTAAAACTGTGTTGAGAGAAAGTGACTATGAGGTGGTTCAGCCATGGGGTGAAATATGGACGTGGCAGGAATATCTGGTTACCAGAGTAGGTCTACAACACATGAGGATGAGCCCAGTGAAAAATTGTCCTTATCACAAATTAATCAGGGGAAGATTGTAATAACTAGAATATTAAATGTGATGTGATTCAGAAATGCTATTTTAAAACCAGGAACTGAAATAAAGAATTATTATAAGTACCCATGTCATACAAGACATTCTTGGTGCCTTACAAGAGTAGACTTAATCTTTTTGAAGTTTTCAGTAGAAATTATATTTTTGAAGTTTTTTGAAGCTTTCAGTAGAATAGAATCCTATGGAGCACGAGTCTCCAACCTTGGTAACTTTAAGCCTGGAGGACTTCAACTCCCAGAATTCTGAGAATTAAGCCGCCAGGCTTCATGTTGCTAAGGTTGGAGACCCCTGCTATGGAGTATAGTCTCCTTTGGAAGTCTCAGTGACTCACCCCTAGATGGAATGACCCAGCCTTTGATCTTACACCAACTGCCCATTGCAGAAACCGTAGGGTATTCATTAATTTCTTCTTCCTCAGAAAAGACCAAAATGGGATGGCATTTGCCCAAGACAAATACAGAAGAGGACATAATCTTTTATTTTGTGTCTTAAGACTTTTGTCAAATAAATGTTTAAATCAGAAACTTTTTGTTGAGAGTGTAAAGTGGCTAAAGTTGAATATAGAATTGTTAAGAACCCTGTCCCAAATAAAGACGGACAATGGCTTAATCCCTGTCTCTTTATTGGAAGGCCTGTTGAGCAGTGTTAGAAATGACAGCTCTGATTAGTTTGTCTCTCTGCTATGAACTGTTCCTGTTTTTAAACCAGGACTTCATTAGGACGTGCTCGAGCTTGGTTACGTTTGGCACTTATGCAAAAAAAGATGGCTGATTATCTCCGATGTCTCATCCTTCGGAAAGATCTCCTCGGGTGAGCCCTTATCCAGACTTTATGAAAAATCAGTGTTTTGATTGTGAATTGTGCACATTTGATTGCATTGTATTGTAATTCGAACTTAGCTAAAATATTTATTTTCTTAGCTAAATAAAACAGCTGACATTACATTGCTTCTAGCCAGGAGCATTTCACTTTTCTTCTGAATTATAAATTTCAATAAAATGTTCTGATTTATTGACCTGACATCTTTATTTTTAAAAGTTTTGTTAGAACAAAAAATAAAGAGGACATTCTAATGATTATTCAGGTTTTGACAGTAGTCTAGCATAAACCAGAAGTCAACAATATAATGCTTGTGACCTTCCCAAGCAGCACTTACCACAACAATGGCAATAATGTATTCTTTTGCTGTTTAATATATTCTGCAAATTTACATCATGCTGCCAGCTGTTGGAAAAGGTGCATACCTAGGATATACAAAATGCACTTGCATACTATTTAATTTCATACTTGCAGAACTAAGCTTTTTTTTAAAAAGCAGTTTTCTCTGTGTGTTTTTTTTTAAATTCTAGACAAGGAATATTATTCATGTTACTCTTCTTGTGCAAAGCCTCTGTTGCTGGGAGACTCTTTTTCATCCTTGTGCAAATATTAAATCCAGTGTTTGATGCTATTTAAGGGTGTTCTTTCTCGACATATTATCACCTAAAGTGCTGCCGATGCTAGTTGATCAAGCACCTGCAATTGGTTGCATAGTGGGGCATGCAACCAGTATCAAGTTAACTACTTGTGTTGACATTGGATACAGCTTAAGTGACCTGCCTGTGCTTGATCTTTGGTGACAGAGTCAACATGGTTAGAATCATGAGATACATATTCGTGCATCATTGGAATTAGGGGGACAAGATGCAGAAGAAAGATGTTAGATGAGATCTCTGTGGACTGTACAGTTTTTTTTTTTAAAGAAACTGTGAAGCAGAGGTCTCCAAACTTGGTAACTTTGAGACTTGTGGACTTCTTACTCCCAGAATTTGCCAGCCAGCTAAAGTCCACAAGCTAGCTGGGGAATTCTAGGAGCTGAAGTCCACAAGTCTGAAGGATTCTGTCATACCATTGAAATTGAAGAAATATTTAACTATAGCTCAGCAAGCTTTTGTAGAGGGGAAGGGGCATAGAGGAGATATGCTTTGTTTTGGACTTTGACAAGCAGTAGGGCTAACTCTAATCTTTTAAACTCCCAATTTTGCGACTTTGCATCCTTTTAAACAAATTCTATAAAAATGGCATCTGTTTTCATGAGGAAGCCTGCTTGTTTTTGAATTGTCACATTGGGTCATTTTGACATTGGTCAGCTATGAAATTGACCAGTAATTGACAATGTCCTTTAAATTATATGAAAATGCTTTTACAGGGAATTTTATGAATACCATGCAGTGATGATGGAAGAAGAAGGAGCCGTCATTGTTGGATTGCTTGTTGGGTTAAATGTCATTGACGCAAACTTGTGCATAAAAGGAGAAGATTTGGATTCACAAGTAAGTAGATGCCACAATATTATACAATATGTAGCCTTCAAGCAAATCTGAAGATCTTGAATAAAATAATTCAAACAATTCATTTCAACCAATCTCTTTAGGAACTGTTTTTCTCCCATGCAAACAATTTATTTTCTTTGAAGCACTATGAAAATCTATATATTGTAGATCCATGTAATTCTGCTTCTGCAGATTACTGGAAGATTTTACAATAAAAAGGTTTCTTGACTGGAAGATTTTTCAAGAATATCATGGCTATTTTTTCCCTTTAAAAAAAAAAGTTCTATGTCCTTTCTTCAGGATGTGTATGAAATCTCTGTTTTGGCTTATATTTTAGATCGTAATATTGTAGACTCGATGAGATGGCTTAAACATTTGAATAGTGAAAAGAATATCAGTATTGGAATAAATTATGATGTAGGGTTATCTATAGAATATTCATAATTAAACTAGCACACCTTCACTCATTTGTGGATACTGCCCCTTGCTCTCAATCCATTATGCATTCGGTCCATTGCTGTTGGATCTGGAGGTTTTTAACCCCTGGGAGCAGATGCAAGGGAGACAGGTTGTTGCAAAATGGCCTTGGTCAATATAATCCAACCCATTAATGTGATCAGTATCAAACCTGGAATTTCCCATTCTGCTGATTGGGATTAAATATCCAGGAGAAGCTTCCTTAATTTCATTTTGCAAAATTTTGAATATATTTTTTTGAAGGTTGGCGTCATTGATTTCTCCATGTATCTAAAGAATGAAGATGACACTGAAGATAAAGAAAGGTGAGTTTTAGTAGAATGTTTAGCACGTTGAACTAAATGGTTGAAAAACCCACCATCCTGCAAGCAAATCAAAAGTGTCCTTCCCCTCACAGAAAAATATTCCTTCTGTTCAGAAGGGAATCTTTACACGCGATTCATTTTATGTCATGTTGTACCTAATGACCTAGTTCCGACTTTCCAAGCCCTCTAAGGCTTCACACATGCTACATACCTGTGTAACCACATTCTACAACCAAATGGATGAATTGCTCTTATTACCCTGATTTCATAAGGGGACAAGGCTGAGGCCAGAAATGGCTGGATTATGCTGTGCCTGAAACAGCCATGTAAATGTTAATCTGGCCTCTCAGGGTTGGCTTTCTTGTTTTCTTTTAATTCCTTGCAGTTTTCTTGACATGTTTGGAGGTGGCTTGCCATTGCTTCCTTCCTACCGTGTTTCTCATATAATAAGGCCGGGTCTTATTTTTTTTTGAGCCCCGAAAAAATGGCTAGGCCGTCTTTTCCGGGGTGACTTAACTCCCCCCCTTGCATCTTTGGGTGGGCGGCGACGGCTTGGATGTTGACCTCGGCGTTGGTGGGGCACTTCGTATCCGGGTCAACGCAGGCAGCACCATATCCGGGTGTGCAACAAAAGTACTTCCTAATGGCAAGCCCCCGCACCATTCCCCCCATTTTGCATGTTTTAATATAGGCCTTAATTTGGAGGGAGGGGCTTAATTTCATTTCATGCCCATAAAACATGCTGGAACTTCCTATTGGGGGAGGCCGTATTGTTGGAGAAACAGGGTAGGGCTGAAAGAGAGGGACTGGCTTGTCCAGCACCATAACCACAAGCTCAAACTACTCTCTCTTCAAATTAGCAAAGGGCAAACTTACTTTTTAAAAATGTATTTATCAAAATACAAAATACAAAGTAAAATGAAAATAAAGGGGAAAAAAGGGAAGTGGAAAAGGCATAGGGGAAAAAGAAAAAAAAAGCATTGACTTTCTACTAATAACATATAGCATGATTTTTTTTTTACATAACAATATAAGCTAATCATTTCTATAACAACAAACCTGTCTAATCAGCAAAAACCAAAGTCAAAGTTTCATTTTTCCATCTCAAGCACAAACTCCAGAAGCAATTTATTTATTTAGTAAAACTTCATGTCCCCATCTTCCCTGGAAAAGGTGACTCTTATTTGCCCTTGCTTATTTTACTGACTGTACATATAAGTGTTTTCTGTGTGTGTGTGTGTGTGTGTTTATTTTCATCTGTATTTATTTTTACTACATTCTCTTCCATTATGCAAATCTCTATGAGTCTGGAAAGTAATAATAGTAATAATAAAATTTTAGTCTACTGTGAAAAAAGTTGTACATTTTGGGGCCACAGATTTCAAGGGCAAAAAGCAGAAAGCATGGAACAACTAAAAAACAACAACAGTCTTTTTTGTTTAATGAAAGGGGATTGTTTAATTCAGAAATTCAGAACTGATGAATGAACAGTCATCCTATCAATATCTAATACAAATCTGAGGAAGATATGGGCAACTATGACCCTTTTATCACCTGTGGACTTCAACACTGAGAGTTCCTGAGCTAGCCATGGCCCCTTTATGACCTGTAGACATGCTGGCTCAGGAATTCTGGGAGTTGAAGTCCACAGATCATAAAGGGGCCATAATTGCCCATCCTAGCCTTAGAGCAATATTCAATTTCCAATTTTTTGAGAAAACCAAAAGAAACCTTTTGTTAACAGAGTCTGTTGATGGTGGTTATCCAGTTAATACTAGTGCTAATTACACAGAATGTTCTAAATTTCAAGCCAAGTCAGATATTGTTTTTTTTTTAATTTATGGAGAACATTTATTAAGACAACATATTTCCGGAATAGTAAATAGAAATTTTTCACATGCATTTCTCGACACTCAGATCTCAGATCAAATGTCTAATGAAACATGAAATATTCTAAACTAAAACTAAATTTCTTTTAGAAATGACCATGTTGCTGCAATATTGGATCAGAAGAACTATGTTGAAGAATTAAACCGGCAATTGAAGTAAGCGTAAGTTGTGTTAGAGAACGGTGCCTTCTGTTTAAAAAAACAACAATTACTTTGATAATTATTGAAAGTACTAGTATTTATTGGTTAATGAATAGAAAAAAGGTAAGTTGGGAAGGGCTGTGAAATGCATTTTTGGGGTTAAAAAATCAAGATGATGACTACAACCACAAGATCAAACCCTGCCCCTTTTTCAAGTTCATTGCACACATGATTACACTTTTTCTCTCTGTGTGTGTGACTTCCTGGCAACTACCTGGACTAGTTAGTCCCTGCAGTTTTCTTGGTAAGTTTTTTTCAGAAGTGATTTGCCTTTGCCCCTTCCTTTCTCCCTCCCTCCCTTCAGCTAAGAGAGAGGGGCTGGCCCAGAGTCTTCCAGCTGGCTTCATGCCTAAAGCAGGGCTAGAATTCAAGGTCTCCTGGTTTCCAGCTAGGTACCTTGCAATCACAACCATCTTCTTGACTTTTAATCCCCACCCAGATAGATCTTGGGTCAGAAATATCTTAGGATAGCTTACATAAAAAATGTGCTTATGTTTTTGATCTGGGATTCCTAAAAGGAATTTATTAGCTATTAAGGAGTTAATATTGCCATGATAGCTCCCTTTTAATATGTTACTCTTATCAGGTGGACTAACAATACACTCCCGTTGCTATTGAACAGATGACATGTGGTTCTGCACGTGTTTTCCGTAGGACATCTGTTAAATGAATAAGTAAAATATATTTCTTTAAAGTATTAAGGGTATACTTAAAGACTTGTGTATCTTTCCAATTGATATGACATGACCAGGAGTGGGCTGCTACGGATTCGCCCGGGTTCAGGAGAACCTGTAGCTAATGTTGTGGCTGGCTTGGCGAACCTCCAAATCCCACTCTGCCCCTCCCCTCCCAAGAGTCTCCACAGGGCCTGTTTTGGATGCGAAGTAAGTACAGGGCCTGCACGGAGGCTTAAGGGGGGACGGGGAAACGTACCTCCCAGAAGTTTCGAAAGTCTGTAAACAGGCCCATTTCCGGCCTCTGGAGGGCCTCTGGAGCCCAGGAAAGGTAGTTTTCACCCTCCCAGAGGCCTGAGGAAAGCCTCCGGAGCCTGGGGAAGGCAAAAATGCAGGAGGCTGACTAGGCCACGCCCACCATGGCCACGCCCATCCAGCAACCAGGCAGAGAACCCGTTGCTGAAATTTTTTAAGCGCACCCCTGGACATGACTGTTTAAAGTTCTTTTCATGCATGTTGGGCTTTGTGCTGTCAAACAGAAGCAGCGCTCCAATTCAGATCTCATTCCGGACTTACTCACTGTAGCAAGTGTAGATTAGAAAAAGCGTAAGGGCTAAGTCAATGTGTACAGCTTTCTCCTCAGGTAATATGAACTTTCTCACATTCTTTAAGAGGACCCATCAAGAAGGCTAATAGTAATAATTAGTCTTCTCCAAATCATAAGAGGAAAACAAATTAAATGTAACAATCATAGAGTTAGTCCCTGACTTACAATCACAGTTGAAAGAAAATTTCAGTTGTAAGTCATTGAAGCTATAAGTTGAGGCACCCATGAGACTGGACCCAACTTTTCAACTGGTTTTATGGTGCTTATTAAGTGAATCACATGGTTGTTAAGCAAATCCACTTTTCTGAATGGGTGGTTTCTTGCTAGAAAATGGCAAAAAATACCACAAATTGCAGTTGTGACTGGAATGCAAGGTTTTACACTTAAGGCAGGAAAAAACAAAAAACAGATTAGGAAAAAACAGATTAGGCAAAACCTGGCTCAAAAACTGTAACTGTGAAAGGGACCTTGGAGTCTTAGTGGACAATCACTTAAACGTGAGCCAGCAGCATGTGGCAGCAGCCCAAAATGCTAATACAATCCTTAGTTGTATAAACGGAGGCATAGAATCAAAATCACATGAAATATTAGTACTGCTTTATAAAGCTTTAGTAAGACCACACCTGGAATACTGCATCCAGTTTAGGCCACAACAAAAGATGTTGAGACTTTGGAAAAAGTGCAAAGAAGAACAATTAAGATAATTAAAGGCCTGGAGACTAAAACATACGAAGAAGGGTTGCAGGATTTGGGTTTGGTTAGTCTAAAGGAGAAAAGAAGGACTAGAGGTTGCCACAAAGAGAAGATCAACTTATTTTCCAAAGTACCAGAGGGCAAGACAAGAAACAACGAATGGAAACTAATCAAGGAGAGAAGCAATCTAGAACTAAGGAGAAACTTTCTAACAGTGAGGACAATTAACAGCTTGCTGTCAGAAGTTGTGGGTGCTTCATCACCGGAGGTTTTAAGAAGAGACTGGACAGCAATTTGTCTGAAATGGTATAGGGTCTCCAGCTTGAGCAGGAGGTTGGACTAGAAGATCTCCAAGGTCCCTTCCAGCTCTAGTCTGATTCTGATTCTGAATGCTGAAACTGGTTGCAAATGTAAGTTGATTGCTAAATGCAAAAAATGCGGTTCGTGTAACTATGGGCAGACTAACGTTTTATAATGGTAGGAAGTGCTTTACAGCCATAACGCATCATTTCCAAGGCCATCCTTATTTTGAATGATCATTAAAAAACATATAATAAGTTGAGAACCACCTGTACATTATCTTTTGGGATAATAGCTGTTAGCCACTTTTGGGTGATGTCAAAAAGCTATACTGGCTCAGGTCTTTTTGATTTTAAGAAGGGGTGACCATTGGGATGTATTGTGGACATAGAAGTCTGTAAAAAAAACTGATAGAAAACACATTTTGAAGAATGGTATCAGGAAGTGTCTTCTGATACATTTGTTTGCTGGGTACCAAGCCGCTGCTAGGAGGCTTTGTAAATGTTTGTACTACTGCATAATTGTAGAAATAATTCTGAAGAATATTTTTTTTTATCGTTTTCAGTAGTACAGTCAGCAGCCTCCATACCCGTGTTGATTCCCTAGAGAAGTCAAACACTAAATTAATCGAAGAGGTATTGTCTTTCAACAATATATATTTTAATTTCATTCATGTGTTGAAATTAGCAGTCTTTGTTTGCATTTGGGATTTGGTTTTTATTTTAGTTTGGGATTTGTTTTGCCAAGAGGTTTCCCTTGGCCAGAGGTGCCTTGTGTGTTACTGAACATCTGAGCAGCAGGAGGATGGTGGCCTAGTTTCTTGGATGTTCTCCATTTCGCTCAGTTGCAGTTCGCCATGAACTCCTTCCTGGTTCATCTGTACAAACATGCATTTTTTGCCATATAAGCAGGAGCATCTGTAAAGGTACCCAAAATGTCAAGATGGCCATGACCATGCCACTCAAGCCCTGCCAGAGCAGTCTTGACCTTTTCGACCCCAGCCTCACGGACAACCTGGAAATGGACCTAAAATATGTATGATAGCAGTATGGAAGGAGAGTCCACATCCAGCAATCCGTAAAACATTTCTCTCAGCAGCTTGAGAGAACATTCTCTCTAGCTGCTGAGAGCCTGTGTACAACTGCAGTGGGGCATAACTGTGATTTGTTTTGGTGTGTGTCTCAGAGGTGCTTTTTCAGGAGGCAACTGGACTTTCTTGTTTTTTCTTTGGAAGATGTTTCGCTTCTCACCCAAGAAGCTTCTTCAGCTCTGACTGAATGGTGAAGAATGGAAGGATCTATCCTGTCAGAGCTGAAAAAGCTTCTTGGATGAGAAAAAGCACCTTTGGGACAACCATGACCTGGATGACTGAGAATCTCTATAGACTCTGTGTATGTCTGTGTGTATAAATGTATTTGCAATTGTGGAAATTGCTTACTACAGGAATCCTTGTGGCAAGCTCGTTTAGATGATATAGCCCTGCCTGCTAGATGGCCTTTTTACAAGTGCCTAAACCCATGACGCTCTGCATATTAAACATTCCTTAGCTATTGTTAATGTTGGATTTTAATTGAGATTAATATCTTCAGTTGCAAATTTAGGATTTCTGCTTCCCGTCAACTGCCAAGAGTCCTTGTTTGTTGGCAACAGAAAAGGTTGAATGAACAAGGCCTAGATAAGTATGCTGAACTAGGGCAGTGATGTGATTAGGAGAGTGTGATGTTTTCATGAAGCATTTTGGGTTCGAACCTTTGTTTTTTTGCTGTTTGAAAGCTTTTGGATTTTTTAATGTTTGCATTCTATCTTTCTTTTAGTTGGCGATAGCTAAAAACAACATAATTAAACTACAAGAAGAAAACCATCATTTACGAAGTGAAAACACACTCATTTTAATGAAAACACAACATCATCTGGAGGTATAATATTTTGAAATAATTCATGATTTGTATGTCAAAACTTGCCATTTTTAATGTAATTTTCTATAAAAATGTAATATTTAAGCGTTTTATGTACTTCAAGAATCTAGCTAGGTAAGAGCTTCAGGGGGATATTTTTGGAAGATCACTTGTAAGTATACCATGCCATGAAGGAGCATTGCAAAATATATTTACATCCCCTTGTCAAGATAGTCAGGACATAGGGGAACATTTTTTTTAACCTGAGCTAACATTAGCCCTGTAAGATGAGAAAGGTTTTGTAGGCAGAGTAGAAGAACGTCTAGAAAGACAAAGTAACCACTTGCAAAATATTCAGAGGGAGTTTTTTAAAACCGCAGAAGTCACCACAATGGTTTAAGTTCAAAGAAAAGAACTGAAAAATGGTGAAACAGCCGAAACATGGGATAAAAATAAACCTTACGAAGTAGGACAAGCAAATAAAACAGACATGCAGCTGAGTCAAAAGACAGTGAAGTGGCAATACCGTTTGGTATTTTAGTGGGTCAATTAACAAATGGCCCATTCCAAGACCAGAACAGCAGGCCAAAAGGACAGCCTGTGGCCATTTCAAAAATGTATAAGTGGAGTCAGTAAAAAATTAAAAGGGGCAATGGAGGAACAACTAATTCTATCATGTCATGACATCACTGAAGTAAACAGGGTGAAAACGTTTGCCCTATATTTGGTAAAAGGTTATAGTACTGCAAGTCTCAAGACACACATTTCTACCTCTTAAATTTTTTGCAGACTACTCTGCAAAAAAGAAGGCGCCCAAATTTTGCTCTCATCTATTTCACTGGTGCATGGGAAATGTGGAAGCATGATGTTCCAGACTCATGATGGACACTACACACTGAATTAATGAGGCCTGGCTAAATTTTGCGTACCTCAAGTTACCGCTGGGGTTTTAGAAGAAGAATCTGTTGCCGATTCTCATTTTTAAAAACATAAAACATTCACCTGGTGTTCTTCAGAACTTTCATTGGTTTATTGAAAATGAAATTTTCATAACACTACATTGCCAAAAGAAATATTTTAGGAGCAGTGACAAATACGGCAGACTGCAAACTATAGAAGGAGTGTTTTTCTGCATTTTCAATAATATTTATACATATTACAATACTTTTAACATGGTTATTGTGCTTGTAGTTTATATATGGTCTAAATCATTTTTGACACATGCATAGCTCCACATTGTCCCAAGCTCATCACAAACACGAAGAAAACTTAGGTGTACTTGCTACCTAGTGTGTACCTTTGGCAACTTGGATTTCAACTCCCAGAATCCCCAGTCAGCATGGCTGGCTGGGGAAGTCCACAAATCTTAAGTTGTCAAGGTTGGGCCTACCAGCTCTAGGATGAGGTCTCTTTCTGAGTACCAAAGTTTTTAAGTACAATAATTTTCCTTATTTTCTTTGTAGATGAATAAAGTAGATGCCGAAGCAGAACTTCAGACATATAAACATTCCCGACAAAGCCTGGATGAAATGTATAATGAAGCACATAGACAGCTTCGAGAAGAATCACAGTTAAGACAAGTGAGTGGGTGTTATATCAATGGTGAATGGTTGGTTCTGCATATTCCTTGGAGTTACATACAAGTAATCCTTGACTTACCACTGGTGACCGTTCAGAGGGGGACTTATGGCTCAGATTTAAAGTTCTGACAATTGGGCCTCCTCCATAGTCACATGACTGAACTTTGTACGCTTGGCAACACAATTGCACATATAGCTGTTTGCAGTATCCTGCAGTTATGTGACTGTATTTTATGATACGTTTGCCAAAAACTTTCACTTACTTCCAGTTTTCAGCAAAACCGTGCCCATAAAATAAACCACAAACGACCATGGCAATTTGTTTAACAACTATTGCAAGAAAGGTTATAAAGTCATTCTGGTGACATGACTGACCCTGTGATGACCCAGGGTGGGATACAAAATAAACACAGTCACAGAAAACAGGTGAAGCCCCTTTTATTCCTTCACTTTGCTTCCAAGCTCCAAATATCCTTGACTGGAGACAAAAATCTCCCACACGAGCGGTTCCAAGAAGGAGCAAATGCCGTTTAGAGGAAAATGCCTATAAATTATAAAGAGTAAAAAAACGACACAAACTAGGCAAGATAAGGGCTTGAAGACGTCCACAGATATCAGAACACACACTGGGAAGGGTGCTAAACTCGCAGAGGAACAATACACTAGAGATATTTCCACACTTTGTTTCCAGCACTGGCCTGTACGCATGTCTGTCCTCTTATCCAGTTGTCACAGCTGCAGCCCATGAAGAGGATCAAGGCCTTCTCCTTCCCAGTAGACCACATCTCTCCCTTATCCTCTCCTCTCTGCATGCCCTAGGATGGAGAGGGGATGGGCCTGGGTCCTCCTCTGACTGCTCAGCCGACCTCTGCCCTTCCCCAGCCTCCTCCACAACCTCCAGAGCCACAGTTCCACTCCCTGTGGGCTGTTCCTCCTCTCCCTCAGAGTCAGTCTCCACCAGGGGCATGACAGACCCATTTTAGGACTGTTATGCCTGCAATGGGTAGGCTCAATTACAGTTGTCTTGCAAGGACTGCCTGTACTTAGGTAGCTGCACACAGTTGTCAATCATCAATCATGCTCTTTTTGCTAGAAATGTTCAATCTGAAACGAAACACAGGATTTTGGGAAGATGTGGGCGTGTTTGTTTTTATCTTTTGTAGGATATAGAGAATGAATTGATGGTCCAGGTTGGTATGAAGCATGAGATAGAACTCGCAATGAAGCTATTGGAGAAAGATATACATGAAAAGCAAGACACTCTTATAAATCTGCGGCAACAGCTGGAGGAAGTCAAAGTGATAAACACAGAAATGTACCAAAAACTGCAGGTAGTTCATTATTTATGTTTTGAAACCAAAATAAGCGTAATGCAGTAGAGTCTGGTGGTGTTTGGGGGTGTAATTCTCCCCCCTAGAATTTCAGGGTCAACTGTTGGCAGTTATCCAAAGCATCTTCTCTATCTGGGCTGACAGTGCCATTTAAGAAGAGTCATGGAATGGACTTGGTTTATATGATATGCTAAGCCATGCCTGCTTAGCATCAGCCATCAATAAACATGTGAACGATCCTACTGTATATTAATAGTTTGGTAGCAGTGGCGGGATTCAAATATTGTTTCCACTGGTTCAGTGGGTTTGGCTTGGTGGGCGCGCTTTGCGCACGTGCTCACACTTTGCATGCATGCGTGTGCCAAATGCGCACTTTGCACAGGCAAAGAAGCATTTGCGCAGACAGGAGGCGTTCTAACTCGCCTCCTACAAGTCTGCACGATCCCGGCCGCTTCAGCAGCTGCCGCGCGGCACTATTTTGTGCCGCGCAAAGCAGCTGCGCTTCAAATTCAGCAGATAAAAGTGAGTATGGGAACCAGGGAGGGCAGGTGGGCCCAACAGCAGAACCATTAAAGCAACGGAGAGACCTGGTTCGGTCTCCGCTCCTACCGGCTCTCCAGAACTGGGCACAATGCCACCACTGTTTGGAAGCCCTTTTTGCAGATATGTCTGTGCAGCCGGTATCTTAGCTGTTAGTGACTGGCCAGCTGATAAGAGAATCCTTTGCTAATTGAACAAAACACAAGGGCTTCACGGCTGATCGGCTTCTGCATGCAGGGCTAGGGATGCAAATCCTTTCTGAAACACCTTAGCTTTGTTAAAATATTTTCCTGTGAAGTTGGAGCAGGAAAAAGAAAAACAAATCCAGGAGCATCAAAAATGAGGTTGCAGAAGCGAGCCAAGTTTCATTTCCCTCTCTTTGTTACTTCAGGTTCAGGCATTCTGTCAGACCAAAGCAAACTAACCAAAATCTAGCCACAATTACAGACCCTGTTTCTTCATTAGCCTCACTTTGAATCGTGGACTGGATTCAAAGAAACACAGTCAGTCTCCACAAACTTAAGAGAACCTTTATTCCAGTGGTGGGATTCAACATTTTTTACTACCGGTTCTGTGGGTGTGGCTTGTCTGGTGGGCATGGCTTGGTGGTCATGTGACTGGGTGGGCATGGCCAACTCAGCAAGGTGGTGTGAGTGACATCTAATTGGCCACACCCACTCAGTCACATGACCAATGCTGCAGAGACAAGGTGATTTCCTACATACCTTCCCCTCCTCCTCCACCCTTGGGCTGACAAAAAAAAAAAAAAAAAGCCCAGCTAAAGATCACGACTACCTGCCGCGTCTGCCTGCCGAAGGTGAGATTCATGTCCTTCATGGCACATGATGGCTTAGTTAATAACTGCATGGCTTAGAACAGAGTTGCCAATTCCAAATATCCCAAAGGTGCTTTTTTAAGAGGCAACTGGACTTTCTAATTTTTCTTTGAAGACATTTCACTTATCATCCAAGAAGCTTCTTCAGCTCTGAAGAACTGAAGAAGCTTCCAGAGTTGAAGAAGCTTCCTGGATGAGAAGCAAAACGTCTTCAAAAGAAAGTCCAGCTGCCTCTTGAAAAAGCACCTTTGGGACAACCATGACCTGGAATGACTGAGAATCTCCACAGGGAGTTCCAAATATGCTAGTTATGCAAGAACTCCCTGTATTCTCCCTTCCAGAAAGGTTAAAGGAAAATAAAAAGCACTGGTCACTGGCCTCCCTATTCATGCACATGGATAAAACAGTGCCCGCCTTGAAGGTAAAATTTTTATTCATGCCATCTAATCAGATGCAGAAATGATTCTGACATCAGCTACATTTCCCCCTCTTCTTTGTCCTTCCAAGTCCATTGAGTACATGGAAGTGTTTTTGGAACTGAAAAACATGCAGTAGTTTTGCAGGACTGATGAATGCTGGAAATTGTTTTTTCCTGCATGGCCTACACTACAGGGCCGCTAGTACTGCTACTTTTTACAGAGATTTCAGCATTCAGAGTTGGTTCAGAGAGAAGAAAGCAGCAGAAGAAAGAGCTATATTGCATGAAAATTACTATACTGTAATAGAATAATCTCTAATAATAGTTTTCAGATGAAGCCATGAAAGAAAAGAGTGAAATAATTGGTCGCTTGGAGGATAAAACTAGTGAGATTACCGCAACTATGAAGCATCTGGAACAAAGGTACAACATCACAGTCTTTTATGCTTTTTCTTACTCATTTTCTCTTGCTCATGTTAGTGCAAAAGAAGCCCCGGGCTTATATCTTCCTCCGAGGTACAAACTTTGGCAAATTTTAATAACATTTTTATATAATCACCACTATTTTTCATGCTCAGTTTAATGCCCAGATTCATAATCCATGGCTTGAGATCAGTTTGTTAAAAACCACAATCTTTTATTTCATGTGCATTGACAAGCTGAGCGTCTGCAAAAAAAATAAAATCAAAACAAACACTTCAAAAGTCTGTGTGGCTAACTTATGATGATGGTGATGGTGGGGAGGAAAGTAGAAACTGGGTTTGATCCAGCCTATGCTACAACGTAAGTTGTAACATGGTACAGACCTTGGCTTAGCATTACATGCCAGTTTGGCAGGTTCTAGACTCAGTTACCTGCATATTGTGGCAAAAGAAATAGGACATAATTGTTCACATTTAACTTGCTCTTAACTTTAAATACATGTTCGTACAAGAACAGCCATAATTCAGATGGATCTGCTTTCACATATTTCTGTGAACACAGAAGATGCCTCCCCAAGTTGCGGGAATCCTCTTCCTTTCCACTCTAAATCACATTATAGCCCATTTAGCAGACTGCAGTTAGCTATTCCAAAACTTTCCTCTCTTTTAACTTTTCCATATTGTTAGCAATTCTTCCAAGCTCTCTTTGACCTAAATATAGGCTGTGCTGGGGGCAGCAAAGTGTGAGGCTTGGATCTCCTTTTAAACGCAGCTGTAGACTGATGATGCATTGAAGGATGAGTTGAAAGATAGAAAAGCCAGAGGGAATGTTTTGAGTCCAAGCCAGGGGTTCTCCCCCCCACTCCCTTTTTCTTCTGCTAGATGTGGCCTGCACAGCCTCCTGATACCAGCAGCTATAAGGCCGTCAGAAAACCCTGGGAAGCTCAGATTGCACATATATTTTGTGATTGGCTGATTGCTGTAGAATTCAAATTTTCAAAGAATGTTTTTGTTAACTGGTTTCCTCATCCATGCAGCAGGTTGCATATAAAATGGAGTAGTTTCAGAAGAAGGTTATATTTTTGTTGATATTAGTTCCATGAAAAGAGATCAAACGTAAGGCAGGATGTACGTAAGAGGTTAAGTGCTTGTAAAATAACCCTAGAGTTGAGGCTCTAGATCAGGTCTGTCAAACTCCTGGCCCACAGGCTGGATACACTGGCCACACCCACACCCGATTTTGTAATGGGGCAAATAGTCCGGATACATCAAGTGATGCTGCTGTGACGCCGTGAATTTGACACCCCTGCTCTAGATATTAAAATTAGAGAATTGGTACCATGGTGGCATTCTGAGGGCACGTTACCCTTTATTTCTCACTTGGTTTCATTCGATAGCAGAAATTTTTAGTAGAGAACTCATGATGTTTCTAGCCATGGTTGATTCAGAGCCTCAGATCTAAGCCAATCTTATTTCTCCCTTAAGAAGCCAAAAGTAAATCTAGGCTTATAGCGAAATAAATCATCTATCCTGATTGGAAATGTCTGTAAGTTTGTGTGTCAAAAAAATTATCAGCCTTCATCAATACCCTTAAACCAGGAGGTGTCCAACTCCCAGAATTACCCAGCCAGCCATGAAGTTGAAGCCATGTCTCAAAGTTGCCAAGGTTTGACACCATTGCCCTACATCTTTTTCATTGCCTTGCACAGAAAAAGGAATAGGGCTTTGATTACAAATTTTTGACCAACACATCCTTGTGGACACTTGTTGTTCTGATTCAACTGTAATGCTAAACATATCATAGAATGAGCTTTCCAGTTTGCCTAGCCATTCATATTTCTGGGAGAAGGAAAGTGAAGAGGGCTAGAATCAGGTACACAAAAATACTTATTCCTTTTTTTTTTCAAAGCTGACATCCTGCCCTTTGAATTTGCACACTACTGCAGTTGTCGAATCACAATCCCAAAAGTATGTTAAAAATGGTTGATTTTCTAATTGCTTAAAAATGTAAACATCCATAGTCTCATCATTGTTTTCTTTTTCAATCCAGTCTATTGAACAAAAACATGATTATGTATTAAAACGTTAGTAAGCATGAATATTCTTTTATTGACATCGTTTTTCCTCTTTCTTTTTCTTTTCTCCTTTATCCCACATTTTTGGATGTTTTTATTGCCTTTGTCTTTGATTTCTATCCATTGCACATCTGAAGTGACAAGGAATTGTTAACGCAGACTAGGACTATTGCCATGACATTGGTGAAATGTTCCAGTCGTGAAGGGCAGCCCCAGTACAAGCTGGTTAAAGATATATCATTTTGAAGCCATGGATCTTGCAAAACAATTTGTAATGGAGCAAACAGACAGCAGCGCTTACACAAGGAAAATGAGCTTTGAATTATGATTGCTTAGATTTGAGTCTCTTGTCCATGTATTTTGGTTTACTTGGGATGTCAGTGTAGTATTCTCATCAGACCATGTTTCTGACACCGATTTCCTGCTTTGTTTTTCCGAAAGGAAATGACAATAGAAAATCTTAATTTAGCAGTTTCCCGTTGGAATTGATCTTTTCAAAATCGCAGTGTTATTTTCTAGCAAATGATAAACAGAGACTGACTTCAAGTTCAGCTAGCACTATTTTTATGACAGTGAAGCTGGTAGAAGGGAAACGTTCAGAAAAGATCTCACAGATTGTAATTCAACCTCTGTTTACATAGATCTTTTCTTGGTGTTTTGATAAGGACAAGAGTTAAACATGGTCTTCCGGATTATCTTTAAATATATTAATCTTTGCACAACGTTGTTTTTAAGAAGTGTTAGATGTGCTCCACAATTGTGCTGGGAGAATATTTTGCTTTAAAAAGAGGAATGAAATTGGAAATCCACCATGCTTTGAACCGAAGAAGTAGTGAAATGAAAATTCATTGGTGGGCATTGGTAAAGCATAAAACCTCTTTTAGTGGAACGTATGCGTGTGAATCTACTTTGTGGTACAGAAGAAAGAGGGACTATGGAAATAATTTTTGTTTATAGTTGATAGGATTCAATCATGGAATGGAAATTATTTGTTTGTGGTCGGATATCTGCCTGGGTAGAAAGGCTTTACAATTAATTTTTTGGAAAAGGGCTTTCTCCTATGCCCCTGCCTTTAAAGCTGAGGGGGAATCATCCTTACAGATGAGGGAGCTTTAGGAACATATTAGCATTAGAACGGGAGTGTTGGGTGGTCAGAAAAGTCAAGATGGCAGCCACAGCCATGCAACAGAAGCCCTGCCCCCTTTTTATGAGGAATGCATGGGATGCGGTCGGGATATTGATGGCACAGTGGCTGCTGGAATTGGAGATTTTAACTAACCCCCACCCCTTGTAACAGACATCCTTGCATTAGAAATCAAGATAAAGCCTCTTTCAACCTTCTTTACTGAAGGTTTACTGGATGATTTTTACACATTTCTCTAGGGCAGAGGCCTCCAAACTTGGCAACTTTAAGACCTGTGGACTTAAACTCCCAGAATTCCTCAGCTTTGCTGCCTGAGGAATTCTGGGAGTTGAAGTCCACAAGTCTTAAAGTTGCCAAGTTTGGGGACCCCTGATCTAGGGATAGGCAGTGTTTTCAAAAGCAAGATTCACACACATCCACCCCAAAGTGAGGCTAGTGCCATGCCTAAAACAGCTCATTCATTGCAGAGTCGTTTCACACTTTGTCCTTGGAATGTAGATAATCCATGGGAAGATAGGGAGGTTATCTGTTTCCCTTTTCCTTAGAAACAAATTTTGGAGCAAGTTGTGTATGAGATTGGAAGAGACGTGACAGGAAAAGTTTAGGTGGATTGCTCTGCCAGGCAGTATATATATATCTGTGTTCTTAGCTGCTGTCAAAATTGGGTGGGAATCCAACTATTTACATCAGGGGTGTCAAACTCAATTTTATTGAGGGCTGCATCAAGGTTGAGTTTGACCTCGGAGGATCAGGGTAGGTGTGGTCAGCATGACATCACTCATGTCGGGGGGGGCACCTGTGGTGGCCTGAGCGCTCTGCCAGTGAAAACAGGCTCCTGGGCTCTGTTTTCGGCTACAATGGCCTCCTGCAACCCTCTGCCAGAGAAAACAAAGGTTGGGGGGCCACGCGCAGTCCTTGCAAACTCCGTTTTAGGCTGCGACGGTGTCCTTCAACTCTCTAGTAGCGAAAATGGAGCTTGGGAGAGCCACACACTGGCAGAGGCACCGCGGGCTGGTCCTTCACCATTTCCAGGACGGTCCCGCGGGCAGATCTAAGCACCCCGTGGTCTGGATCCAGCCTCCAGGCCTCGAATTTGACACCCCTGATTTATATAATACCATAGATATTATATTAGACTAGTGTTAATGACTCAGAACTGATGCCAGACAAGCCACATTAGACCAGTGTTTGTCATCCGTGACAAGTCGAAGATGTGTGGACTTCAACTCCTAGAATTCCCCTGCAAGGAATTGTGGCCGAGGAATTCTGGGAAATGAAGTCCACTCATCTTCACCTTGCCAAGGTTGAGACACACTGTATTAGACAGTCAGCGGCCTTCCTTGGCACGTATTGTGTTGAGCCTTAAATATATTATTTGTGTCCTAAGTTCAGTCATCCAGAGTTCTGTGTCAGTAGTTAAAAAGTCAAGATGATGGTTGTGACCACATGGTCAGGCCAATGTTATGGTTCTTTTCACTGCCCCGAGGATGTCCCTGTGCCCTTTCTTTCTTTCGTGAAGTCAAGTGGCCAAGATACTTGAACTTTGGTTTTTCCTTTTTAAAAAAGAAATCATATCCATAAAAGAGTTGAAATAGTCAGCACTCTGTATGTATAAAACCTAACATATGTATCACTTTGCCATGATGGTGCCTGTTTATCATGGATCCCAAATAAAAAAAATGGAGAAATTTATGGATGTTTTGTGGTGATAGTGAGATGCATAATTTGAATTTGTAGGCATTGTCTGGGTCTCTCATTTGAGTTAGTGAGTTTATCCCCAAACTTTGTTTTCATTTAGAAATGTTCTATTTCCCCATTTTTTTCCTTTTATTTGTCTTCATCCTTTACATTCAAATTCTAGCTTCAGTTTTACCCAAAGTTGATTTGAATTACACCAGATTGCAGCAAGCAGAGAAGGCTCACATGGAAGCAGACAGTGAGGACAAGAAAGTTAAACAAGATTATATGAATAAATCTGAAAGTCTTCAGAAAGAAATTGCCCAAAAGGAAAACCAAGTGTAAGTAACATTGATTTTTGGGGAAACTGGAGTACTTTTAATATTTTTTATAAACATTTTAATATTTATATAATGTCAGCATATACTTTTGCTATATCAACCATTTAGAACAATACCCTGTCCTGAGCGTACAGTACTTTTCTTTGCAGAAATTTGTGTATACTTTTAAGGTATTTCATGGAAATTAGTAAGGTGCAGGATTAGGAACAGGAGACAGTAATTTCTAGTCATCCCTTAGAATGTTTCTAGGTCGACCTCTCTCCCCCAGCCCAACCCATCTCTGGGCTGTTGTTGGAAAAATTACACCCTCTGTTTTGAATTAAACAAAATAAAGGTGAGGTACCACTCTAATAAATAAATACATCCATACATGCATTTCAAGGATTGTCTTTTATCACTTTCCTTTCTCAAATGAATTCCCCAAGAACACCATGATTTCTACTCCTCAGTGAATTACTTATTCATTTTTGTCCCTCCTTTACTACTTTATAAATAAATAACATAGGGCAGTGGACCTACATAATAATCCATTCTGCTCTATTTTCCCTCATAAATAACCTGTGAAGTGAGTTAGAGGGAGAGAGAGTGGCCCAAAGTCACTTGGTTGGCTTTCATGCCTGGTTTCTAGGCCAACATTTTCATCACTACACCAGACTGGCTGTCTTGTAGTACATCGATAACGTATCTTGGAACAGTCATAGAATGATTCAATGGGGAAGCCAAAAGGGACTTTGGGGGGTCTTCTAGTTCAACCTCTACTCAGAGCAAGAATTTTGGACCATTGTTGCCCAGCCTTGGTTTGAAAACCTTTGGGGACACCATGATTCCAGGAATCAGGATGCTCCACTGTATTATAACTGTCGCGGCCAAGAAAGTCCTTATTTCAAGTCTGGGTCTTCCTCTATAAGACTCCCATTCAGCGGTTCCTGTCCTAACCTTTGGGCCTTACTGAGAATAAACCCACAGCTTCTTTCCTGTGAGAGCCTGAGAAGCATGGGAAGAGGGCTGTCACGTCTCAACCAGACTGAAGTCTATTGAGCTTATCAAGTACCTATAATTAGATTTATGCTGATTTAAAGGGGATGAAGTATTTATCATGTAGTTTATGGCAGGGGTCTCCAACTTTGGCAACTTCTTGTGGACTTCAACTCCCAGAATTCCTCAGCCAGCTTTGCTTTGCTGGCCGAGGAATTCTGGGAGTTGAAGTCCACAAGTCTTAAAGTTGCCAAGGTTGGAGACCCCTGGTTTATGGCACTGATTAAAATATGACATAAATTAAAATGAAGCTAATGCTCTGAAAACATTCTTCCAGCTTGAATGAATTTTTAAATATTCTATGTTTTTAGGTGTCAGTTGGAGACAGATTTGAAAATAGAAAGAGAATGGAGACAAACCATGGAAGAGGACCTTAAAAAGGAAAAAGAAACTACTTGTTTTCTACAAACAGAGACTCAGCAAATCATTACACTTAAAAAAGTAATTTCTCAAAACTTGAATCCTGATTAAAAACAATAGAGGGACAGGGCAGACCAGCAAAGGGCCTTTGCACACTTTATGAGGTGGGTGTGAGGGGGTCTGGGTGAAGGGCCAAAAGGCTGCCATACAATCAGGTGGGCTGTGGGAGACCTCCAGAGTGGCAGCTGGAAGAAGAGGGGTTTTTTTTGCCCGAAAGCTTCTTGATAGAGGCTGCAGGCATGGTAAACGGGGAAATGTGAAAAACTGGGTCTGGATATGGCCATTTATAAGGTGAGCTGATAAATTTTGTTTAGGAGTCGGGGTCTTTGTTTCACCCAGAGAGGCAAATGAAATCGCTTTCATCAAATGTGACTATTCAGAAATAGTATACTTTTCTAAGCCTATCAACTTTCAACATTAACAATCAGTGCGTACTAGCATTTCCTTCTAGTTTTAGATATTTTACAGAATTAATGTGGGGTTCTTAATTTCCATATATTGGCATCGTGCAGGGGGCCATTAAAAACAAAGATGGCTGCAACTGCACGATTGAAGCCTAGTCATGTGAGGAGAGCCATCTTGACTTTTGTTTTGCATATAGTCTTGTTATCTGTCCATTACTTTTGGGCTGTGATTCACAGAAGCTGGGTTTGCTCAAACAGAGATGCTCTCTGTTGGGAGTTTGCTAACTGTTTGAACAGGGATGCATTCCTGGAACTTCTTATTTTATTTATTTTATTTTATTATTTTATTTATTCTTACTTTATCTACCTCTAAAAATTCTTATGTTCTGTTCCTTAGCTTGAGCAAAGTTGTCATCGTTTTATCCTTTTTTTCCCTTCCTTCCATTTGTTTTTGTTTTTTTTTGCTTCACCCACCTTGCTTTTTACCTGTTATGACTAAGAGTACAATGGCTCTCTGAAGAGGCTTCTACATACAAGGAACATGTGTCTCTGAAAAGCATGGTGGAAGATTGGTCTTATTCAAAGATGTATTTTATGTTTAGCTGTCCACAATGCAACGTAAACATTTTTGTTGAGTTATATGGAAGTCAGTCTATCTATCTATCTATCATCTATCTATCTATCTATCTATCATCTATCTATCCATCCATCTATCTCTGTCCGTACGCCCGTCCATCCACCCATCTATCTCAACATTTGATAAGCCAGAATCATTCTGTCTTGCAATGAAATCACATGCTTTTTTTCTGGATTTAAAGTCTCAGGGTGCTGGCTGAAGATATATTATTTCACATCCCTCACTAGAAACAATTGTGCCTTAGTTGAGACACTTTTCATCTAGCCCAATGCTTTTCAACCTTGGCAAATTTGACATGTGAACTTCAATTCCCAGAATTTTGCAGTCAGCATAGTGCCTGGGGAGTTCTGGGAGTTGAAATCCACACATCTTAAACTTACCAAGATTGAAAAACATGATTTATCCTGTTTGACATAAAATGAATCCTTATTCCTTCACTGCCTCTGAATAATAGTTTGTGGGTATCAATACTTGATAATCCAGCTTTCATTGAATGCCTATTTGAACCAAACAAATGCCTGATGTACATTTCTCAATGTCAAATATTATTGTCTTTATATATCAATTAATTATGTTTGTTTCTATTTAAGGAATTCCTAAACTTACAGGGAAAAAACAAGCAGTTGAAAAATCTTTGTCATGATCAAGAAGAAGCTCTCCAAGAACTAGCCAGCAAACTTAGCGAGTAATTTTCCTTTTTTTTTTTTTAAGGGAAGAGGCATAATTATCCAGGTATCCCAATGTGGAATGGACTAATCATTTATAATTCAAGCATTTCATGTTCTATTGCAGAGGTGGGCAACTTCATGACCTGTGGAATCCCAGATTCCCGAGCCATAGTTGCCCACTCCTGCTCCATTGGCACACAATATGTATTCAGACCGTTGTATATGTTAACAGCCAAGTCAGCTTGCTAGGTAGCCAGATCTTCAGAAGCTTCCATGGGCAGGCAGTAGATGTCACATATACACTTACTTGTGTGGGAGAAGGAAGTATTGTTTTCCAGGTATTATTGGACCTTCTATGAATTTAATTCAAGATAAGCCTTTAATGTACAGTTTATACAGCCCATCAAACCTTAAGAAGAATATTAGTGTGATTTTAAGTAGCAAAGAATTCAGCCTCAGAATTTCAGAACTGAAATAAATTAGTTTATTGATACATATTATAAAGAAACAGTAAAAATAAGATGATCTAAGGAAAAAATATTTTGAAAACAACAAACCAACTTTGCTTAGTTTTTTTCTACTTGCAAGATATCTAGTCTGAATGGGATTTACTTCTGAATGGTCCCACAGTTAAGATTGGGCTCTAAAACAGACAATAAGATACTTTTATTTCACATCTTGATGTCACTGAGCTTTCATTTTGAATTCTTTAGTGTGTCTGAATCCTAAATTACAATTTAAGTATTAAAGTGACCAGAACCTCCAGCAGTTTGTTATAACAAAAATGAACAAGTACTTATTTAAATAACAAAATGGGTAAAGCAATAAATTCATAAAGTATTATAGGAATCATGAATATACAAATTCTGAAAGCAAAGCCAGGTTCTTCATTTGCCTTCAAATCAAGCTACCAGTGAAATAGGTCACTTAAAGGAATTCTAGGTTTCAGAGTACCTTGTAATTGACATCCGATAAAAGCAATCAATTATGTGTGGTAATTATATTAGGTATTATGGTCTCAAGAAAAATACATCACTTTCAAAATCCAGAATCTCTTTGTAAGATTTCCCAAGAAAAGAAAAATAAGTTTCTTCCCTGCCCCGCCCCACCCAAATATTCTAAGCTTTTTTTTACTGATCAGAGGAAGTGTCAATTTTTAAGCTACCATTTTTATATAGCCAGTTTTCTAGTTAGGATATATTGTTTAATTATAGTCATTTGTCATTTGGATTGTCAACAGGCAGCATCCAACTTCATGTCTAAAACATCAGTTGTTGCTCAGTGCTTTCTGTTTCTTGCATTATATTCCTAAGCTGCTAAGAATGATGTTTCCAGTTTGTTTGTAGGAAGTGTCCACATCATAGCTTTTCTCTTTGATACCATCCACAGGCTCAGGATCTGTCTCTTCAAACATTAGTGTGATACTAATGTCTCAGTAGCATGTCCATTGCCACGAGTATTGTAAATCTCCAAGAGTTTAAATGTTGGGGTATATAGTTACCCTTTTATTTTCAATATTTGAAGTCTGGATGTGAGGTAGTTCAATATAAATAGAACCATGCAAATAAATAGGAGTCTCACAGTGAAGAAACCCATCCAGAAATAAGGAAGACCTTCTTAAAGAGAGATGATTTTGGTTAATGAAAAAGTATCTTTCTGGGCTACTTGGGAGAAACTATTCTAAAGTGTCTTATCAATACCTGTAAATTGTGATCAGGTTGGAACTCCTAGGGGATGAAACCTCCATGATAACACACAAGTTAGTTAATTCCAGAAATGGCAAAGGTTTTAGTGAAGGGTCGTTGGTCCTAACCTGATACGACCTTTCTCTTTGTGTGGAGATAGCATTCAGGATTGGGTGCTATCTCCACAATGGAGAATGTATTATCCACAGGTACACACTGAGTAGGAAAAGGGATGAGCTTCTGTGCCTTTTGATTTCAGACTAGAATCTCCAAAAGTACTGATGTATGTGCCTCTTATTTGTTTTATATTTTTATTTTATTTACATTTTTATGTATTATATTTGTAATTATATTCTTATTATATTGCCCGTAATTTCTAAATCGTGTCTTCTCTTTAGATCAAAGCTTAAAATAGAAGACATAAAAGAAGCAAACAAAACACTTCAGGTTAGTAATATTTTGGGTGGTAACCGATATCCTGAGTTGGTTCTCTCATTAATTTCAAGAATTTTTCTGCCTTAAGCTTACAATTTCCTTTGTAAATGGGAGCATAAATTGTCTATTGTTACTATGCATTTGGGTACTATTCCAGCGTGTACAAAATGTTTTCAATTTGAAATGTTGGTCTGTTACCAGAAATGTTCCTGTGCTACTCCAGAAGTGTTGGGAGGTTTACGTGGGTGTTTCAATTTTTCTAGAAGAGTATCTTAACTTTCAGTTAAGATGGGAATACCCATTCCAAATTTTAAATGTTTTGGTATCTTTATTCTGTTCCTAGCTTCGTTTTTTAATTTTTAAAAATGCTATTTCAGTATATTCTAGATGAGCATCAACAAATTCACACATAGTTTTTGCAGTTAAGTCCATTCCCTTTCTCTGAACTCTTGTTTTAAACAGTGCAATTACTACTGAAATATTTCTGATCTATTTAGGAAAGTTTTACTCCATGAATTGTGAATGGCGTGTAATAATAGTTTTGTACCTGCAGTGGTTCAGTTCAGATAGCATCTCTTCTCCTCACTAGGGCCTGGTCTGGTTGAAGGACAAAGAAGCTACTCACTGCAAATTATGTGAAAAAGAATTTTCTCTTTCCAAGAGGAAGGTGAGTTTATATTAAATGTTGTCTTGTCTTTTATTAATTAAAAATGATAAAATGATGGAAATGTATCAAGTGCCAGAAGATGTACTGCTCATTATGTGCAGTAAATTGTATCAATTGCTATGAAAGACATATTTTCACTCACCAGATGGACATTTTTATCAGTCATTTGGCTTGCTCAGTTTTCTCTGAAAATATGCTATAGAAATTTTAGGGTAACTATTTTACCAGTTCTCCACGTAGCAATCAATAAATTGGGAGAATTCCTGTAATGATTTTCCAAATAATATATCTTCAAGGTTTGTTACAGAACATTTATTTTTATCCACAAAAATAGGTATCGAGGTTGGTAGACCTAAGTTATCATTGGTTACTTATTTCTTAGTACACAAATTATATTGGCATAAAAATCTTTTTTTTTTAGCACCATTGTAGAAATTGTGGTGAAATTTTCTGCAATGCCTGCTCTGACAACGAGTTGCCTTTGCCATCTTCACCAAAGCCGGTTCGCGTCTGTGACTCCTGTCATGCACTACTCATACAAAGGTGTTCTTCCAATATGCCCTAAGTCTTCTACAGAAGTTATAAGACATTCTCACCGATTATGAGTGCTGTCGTGTTGGCTGCTTTTATATATATATACGTATATATATATACGTTACTGCAATTCCAGCTTAATGCCCTTAATGTCAAAATAATGGAAACACTTGTCACTATGTCTTTGTGCCATTGTTCTTGCAATCAAAATCTTGTTTTGTACAGTTGTGCTGAGGCAATGATTGAAATGCATCTGCTTTGCAGTCGTTTCTGCTGTTTTATGTTGTCAGAGGGCTATTCTAGTGTGGGGTGCAGAATTGACCTTGTAATGAAAGCTTTACGCTGAGAACAGGGAAGCTGAGAAGCTGAAATTGGAGCTGGATAATGTTTACATCGACTGCACTATTTGTGTAGTTTGATGTCCTCCCTGACACTTCCACTGAAAACGCATTGTTGCTTATGTGTGAGCAAAGTTGAATTAGGCAAATAATAAAACAAATATATATTTGTACAGGGGGCAGAACTCAGTTATTTTCTCTGGTGTTTCTACACAATCTTTTCAAATATAAGTTGGCCTCTGATTCCAGCTTCTGGGCAATAGTTTATGCAGGTTTATACTGAATGTAGTAGGTAGGACTTGGAGGATCTAGTTTAGCAAGATGGAAGGGTTTGCTTCTCATGGGGAGATTCATGTTCAGGATCCATCTAGAACAGACAGCTCAGGGCTGAAAGATTTCCATTCGGATGTTCAGATGAGATAGGTTAGTGTTATAGTGTTAAACCTCTGGAATCAAAATACTTGGTTAACTTCCCCAACTGGATAACACGCAGCATGTACAACAGTTGCAAAATAATCCTTTATATATCAAGGAAGGGTAGCAGGCACACTTGAGGGATGTCTCTTTCCTATTCAGTGGTTGTTAGACAAGTGATGCCACATGAGAAGATGGGCAGAGTAGTAACTAGATTTCTCCATATATTGTATAAGATTGGTTGGGGTAGACTTGCAAAAAGAATGTATCTTAAAAATTGTCTCCAATAACTCATTTTAGAGACAAGCCTAGCTGGAATTTTTGTATAGAGCTTTTATACTTACGCACAAACTATTTGCACTTATTTATAATGTAAAATTAAGTTATTCAAAATGATCTATAAAGAATATAAATTACAAAATAGCAGATTGCCAAATGAATTGTTAACAAATAGTCCAGGATAGTGTTGCTTTTGTTTGTCTTGTAGGAAAGTGAAAAAGATTCCTTATTTTACTTTTTGAAAAACCACTGTATCTAATTAACAATTTTACTTGAAAAATAGAGGGTGTAATAAAAAGAAATGGTAGACTTCTTGTACTGGTGGGTCATTTCTAAGAGATGTTGAGAACAGTTTTTAATGTGAAACTATTACCTGTTCAAAATTTATGCATTTTTCCTTTGGATTGATCTAAATCAGGGCTGTCAAACTCGCAGCCCGGTTTAATGAAGGGAAGAGTCCCGATATGTCATGTGACACCGTGAGTTTGACACCCCTTGATCTAAACCAGGGGTGTCCAACCTTGGCAACTTTAAGACTTGTGGACTTCAACTCCCAGAATTCCTCAGCCAGCAAAGCTGGCTGAGGAATTCTGGGAGTTGAAGTCCACAAGTCTTAAAGTTGCCAAGGTTGGACACCCCTGATCTAAACCAACCACCCATTTTTGAATCTTCCTCTTTTTGATTCTTCTTCCACAACTGGGTGCCTTCCAAATGTATTTAAAAAATATGGAGTTGCAATATAAGAACAGTACAGGATCCATGAAAGGCAAATATAACTACTGAAGTCAATAAAATTTGGTAGTGATGTGCTGTTCTGTAACTTTAATTTTCAGCATTTAAGGGATATTATCTAAAACTGGAGCATCAAACTTGTGGCATCACATCGTCACGTGACATATCTTAACTCCCCCTTCGCTAAAACGGTGGGCGTGGCCAATGCGTGACGCATCCAGCCCGCATGCCACAAGTTTGACACCCTTAATCCAAAACATAACCTTTTATAGTTTTAATATAGTACAAGAAATTACTGGGGAACTCCGTCTGTAAAAAGCTGTTGGTGGTAGAACCAGGCAACCACATGAATTGTTGAGCTCTCAGTTATGAGAGGCTGGATTCTTAGCACTGGCTGGAGAATTCTGGGAGTTGGGCCACACTTCCTAGCTGCTGAGGCGGAGAAGCTCTACTTTACTGGATTATTCAGTGAGCAGGACTCTTTTAGCAGAGAAAGGTAATTTCCAGCTTGACAATTCTGAAATTCTTGTGTCAAAATGTCAAAGTAAGCCTTAACAGCTATACAACCAATTTTCTAAAGTTCTAATAATTACAAGCTCATGAGTTATTAAATAGCACATGATCTTTTATCATTTCCGTCCCCTTCTGTGTCAGCTGTGAGATGGTTGAATTTTATTGCTTAATCAGCAGGGCTGTGAAGTGGTTCAGATTAAATTCCCAAATTGTGCTTTGGATATGACACCTGTCACAATTAAAGTATGTTCTCTCATGAGTCTGTAAGGTAGGTACAATCCTAACACACACAAACACACACACACACACACACACTCTCAATAATTGCAGACAGGCTCTGAAATATTTGGGGAACTAATTCCAAATGAGTAATTTTATTGGCTGTACAATCAACTCCTCTTCAATTTCAGGTGATAAATTTGGTCCATCTACCTCTGAAGAAATATGAACTTAGAATCATCAAATTTCATTTTATTACCTATTTCATATGTACAAACTTTGTCTAAGACCAAGATGTTAATTTCTGTGGTGGAAAATGCGAATATTTTAAACTGACTGCATATTTTGAAAGGGTTTTTTTAATATTTTTTTTAAAAGCAGTGTTTCAGAGTTGACTACTACATGTTCTCAATCCAGTATCAGGAAATCCTTGAGTCCCTAAAGACATCAAGCAATGCATTCCGGGTCTAGACTTACAGTGGGGATCAGAATTTCTTGCTGGTGTTTGGAAAAGAGTATTATTTACACCACATTCTCAACTGTCCTTCACAGGTAGTTGTTTTAGGCTTTCTAGGCTTAATGCCAAGTCATCAAGATTTCTGGAAAGGAGGCCTAGCAACCTTTTCTTCTCTTGAAGAATTGCTTGGAGGGTGTCATTCACTCACCAGCACACATACTAGTATGGACATGATGCTCTGAATTAATATCACTTTTTCTTGTAATTTACTCAAATTGTGTCATGGAGCATATTATACTATCAGCTACTAAATTCTTATAAATCTCAAAAGAAAGTAGTGTTCGGTTACAATTGTTGAAAGAAACACTGGGTAACTATATAATTTTATCTAATAATTCTGATATTGTTCCATGTCAGAAAGTTTTTGTCTTTTAAGCATTTTACTTTATTATGCATTTGATGTTTGATATTTTACATGAAATTTTGGTCAATGACCATAAATAAAATTTGGTTAATTTAAAATACAAGTGTTTGTAAACATTGGAAAAAATATTCAACATTTTTCAGCTTGCCCTGGTGATGGTCAAATCATTCACTTTGTTGTTATGCACTTGGTACGCATGTTACTGCTTGTGTAATAGCAGCTGATGCACACATATTTCCATTAAATAAAAAGCCATTTTTCCCAGTAAATTTAGGAAATATTTATAACAGCTATACTGGTCCCACGTGACCAGAAAATATATAGCACTAATGTTTACAAAAAGTAATCTTATTAAGAGACTTATTAAGTTTTGTTATAAATCATGCTAATGCCACAACATGGTAAGAAATCTTGATGTAGAAAATAAGTCTGCCATACAGACACTGACACTCTGAATGTGTGAAAACCTGATTCAATTGCATAATCTTAGAATGCACTCTTGTTTAGAATGAAGAGTGAAACTGATGCTAAGATGATCCATCCCATTTGCCTCGTTTGAGCCAAAAAATCAATATATCAGAGGCTTACATAATGATAGCCACATCATTATGAATCTTGCTTTGATGGCCACATCATTATGAAACTAATTGCATGATGCTGTTAAATACACACTACCCTCTGTACATTCCTTGTAGTAACATATGCCTTGAACAGTGTCTACTTTGGGGCACAGTTGAAAAAACGTTTTCAGAAAACAACTGGAACGGCAGGACAATGCGGATTAGGGACTGGGAAGAAGCCTTAGGAGATGTCAAGGGAGTTTTTCAAGTGCCTCATGGAGTATGCCAAGCTTAGTAATTCAGAGGCAGATGCCACTTGAATATTAGGATTTTTTCTAACACTTGAGTGTTCAACACTACTATTACTAAGGGAGGCTCCTTATTAAGGCTCCTATTTGCTCACTGTATTCAAGCAAAACTATTTTAACCCTCCTTTGGATCCAAGGAAAAAAGGCATAATTTAGTTTTTAGGATAAAACTAGTGATGTTAATACTCTAAGGATGGTTTACTATATAAGGACTACACTACTTCAATATATAGCCTCCCTGAAGACATTAATTTTAAAATATTAAAATTAATTTTGCTAAACACCTAGTACATTTCTTAGAAAACACAGTGCATTGAGTAAAGCACACTAAAATCATGGATCTCACCTTTGTTTTGCCTATTTCATTTATTTTGTAAAACTGTTTAGGATCCTAAGATTTGCAAACAGGAAAGTTTATCTTCAGAATCAAATATGGCTATTCTGACACACGTGGCTGCTGTCTGTATAAACTTTACTGAGAATAAAACTTATCTACAAATTAACATTTTTAGCTTGGAATCATAGTATTGAATATAAATTTGTATCTTTTCTATTTTTCTATGACCCACAAAATCCTCATACTTACCTCTCAATTGAGCCTCAAGCCTTGATACAAATATGCTCAATCAAAAAAGAGCATTCCTTATGGATCTAAATTACTTGCATTTTTAGTATAAACCTTTAAAAAGTGTTTCTTTTTTACAGAATTTTGTACAAATTAGAAAAGATTAAAATTTGCATTGTTTGCCCTTCAATTAGATAAATTGACACAACACGTCCTAGAATGAAATCTATTTTGCTATCTCCCACAAGACATTTATTACATACATTACTAGCAAAAACAGGCAACAAACTTTCAATTTATCACATTTGACAAATTATTCTGAAGAATCTGGAGGACAAGCAATCAAAACAAAAATTCTCCTTGAATATTAGTACCTTTTCTTCAAAACATAGAAAATGCTTAAGTGACTAAACAGTATTTCATCCAAACAATCTTACATGTTAAAAATGCAAAGCAAGAGGACTACTTATGTAATCCGTCAAACTTTTAGCTGGAAATGTTATTGGTTGCCAGATTGGCCACACAATCCTTACATGGGTATCTTCACAGCAATAGAAATGGCATCCTTAAGTCAATTATTTTATTTTTAAGAACTGTAATAGTTACTTCTCTATCAATGTTATCATAGTCCATAGCTTTCTGCTTTTCTCCCATATCTTTCTCATATAGTATCTATTAATAGCTTATCTCAAACTTTAATTGCCAAGAAAACAAAGTGAAGATTCAGACCATGTTTTCTGTCAATATATTTTAAATATTATGAAAATTCTGACATACACATAGCTCTGACAGCATATGTAGCAGTTGTGCATTAGGTCATTCCAGAATTTTAACACATGGCCTTCATGTCCCACACTATTTTCAGACATTCTTCCATTAGTTTTCATTGAATTAGTTTTCATTAACAAACAATTTATTAACACTTAACACTTACTTTCATTCCAAGCCTCAACAAATGTAACATGAACGTAATGGTTATTTCATTTCATAGATGCAGAATCAATAATATAATCTTCCAGTACAACTGCTTTTAATGAACCAAATTTCTTAAACAAAATCCTAGGATACGCAACTATCTTCAGGAGGAGCTAGTAGTATAAAAACTATCAACATCAGTGGTTTGAATATAAAAAATTTATTTAAAGTCAGAGTATGCAACAAATAAAACCTACAGAAAACAGATTTCCCCATCACATGAAAACAGATTTCCCCATCTGATGCTTACCAAATAATGGGAAAACACATTCCTTCAGTCATTATAAAGTTTTCAATACAAAAGAAATTTTAAGTTTTGTAAGAAAGCCTAGGAGACCAGGTACTGTTTCCTTCCAACACGCTTTGGAGACACAATGACACTCTTCAATACATTCCACGCCAGCCACCTCCTCCCATGTTGCCTTGCCCGTAATATCCACCACTATTTCCGCTGCCACGACCTACAAAATAACCGCAACACTTTTATTCCTGTAGTTAGTATCGTTTAAACTTTATATCCACCTATATGAATGAAAGAAATCTTACCACCCTTATGATGCCACTCATGCCTTCCGAGCATGAATGCATTTTTAGTTCTTCATGCAATGCAAAGAACTGGGGGAGATTAAAACCAATATCTTAATATTAAACATAACCAAACCTTACCATAGCCACCCAATCCATCAGGAGTACCATATCCTCCAGTGTAACTGCTGCCCATTCCCATTCTTCCAACGGAACCATAACCACCTTGCTCTGGAAAAGAGCAGCTACCATTAGTCTCTAGAAATCCTATACAAACTGAAATCAAATTAAAAACCTGAAATTAAACCTACCCATGGCATCTCTGCCATAGCCACCCATTCCGGAACCGCCTCCAGCAGTTGAATTGAGGAATAGCTCGATGTATCGATGCTCTTTAAAAGAATAAAAAGCTTACTCCCATAAATGCAAGTCTTACAATTACCTGTAAAAAATCAAGGGAAAGCGTACAAAACTTCAGACATATTTACTGTAACTTACGCATATGGTTTTTGTCTTTAGACATGGCAGCCACTGCATCTTCATGTGTCATAAATTCCACATCAGCCTCTCCAGTTGCTCTTCCATCTGCTCCAATGTCAATATGAACCCTTATAGGAGTCAGTGGTGAGAAAAACTAAAAGAAAGCAGTAAGTTAAAACTCCTCACATTTAACCCATTATTTTAAGTCTGTCACATCCAAGATGCACACAGTTGTGTAAAATAAATCACACTTCTACCATGCATATGCGTTTTACAGAAAAAATCTTGATTTTGCGGATTCATTAGTTATCATTATGAAATCCCTTAGTGTTGGTTAGCCAATAAATTAAAACAAACTGACTGGGAAAGTATTGATTAGAGCACATGACAGTTTTAAAGCATATAACTTCTTTAATATGCAACAGTATATGCAATTATTCCCTTAGTTGCTTTTTGTGTACAGAAAAATGTAAAAATGTACTACTGCTTTGGGTTGTATATCTGTAAACCATACACTGGAATGAAGTTGAAATATCAAGCAGAAGTAACTGAGCTGATATAGATTAAGTATTTGGAGCACAAATTCTTATGGGCAAGCCTATGTTTTGGTTTCAGCTTTACTTTCTCTTCTATTAACACTATAGGCCCAGTATAGCTCAAGTATACTTCTCATGATTACATTTGGTTAGTATGTCAATAATATTTACATTTTTACATTAACCTGCAGTAATTTTCAAATCAAAATATTCTTCTTTTCAGTAACTTGCATCCCATCAGTATACTGGCTACAATTAGCAGGTCCCATCCCAAGTCTTCTCGCTGATTTACCTATCTATTCTACTGTTGCTACTATTTAATATCCTTCCCACTAAGCCACTAAATACTGATTTATATTACAGCCGCCCCTTTTATAAGCTTGCCTTCTTTATTTGAAGATTTCCTGCTCCATTGGCAAGAAAAATACAAATTCATCAGCATTGAAGAATCACACAACTTAGAGATCTTAAACTTTTTAAACTAATAGATATACATGGCTGGCTAAAAGAAATTGAATAATAGTAATAGCAATTATAATAATTTCTTATATTTGCTATTAGAAATTCTCTAATTTTGACTACAGTATTTGTAATTTTATATGCGTATCATTTTAATTGTAATAACAGCTGTTTAAAATTTTTATTATCAAATTTACTAACCTTTCTGAATATTTTTGTCACAGAAGATGGGGATATAAATCAAATACTGGGGGGTTTTCTTTTGCATTTTTTTTCTCCTTGTTTAATTATATAAAATCTCCCCTCCCCAAGGGGAATTCTAACATGAAATGTGCACTTCAGTTACTTTCAAATACCACTAGTCATTCAATTACTAAAAGTAACAAACACACACACACACATTTAATAACTTTATGTGTTTTTAAAAAATTCTCCAAAGAAAGGCGGGGGGGAGGAAGGTTACTCCTGGAACTTCTTGATACTTTAAAACAGTTGAATCTGATTCCAGATGTGAAACTTTTAATCTCTTGGGAAAACCCTCCTCCCCCACAAACACGCTTGTTTCAGCTACAAATATTTTCAACAATACTCACATTAGCAATATCATTTTCAGTGGCTCGAAAAGGCAAACCTCTCATGTGAACAAAATGACCACCTTGGAAACCTGAACTTGCATCTCCTGCTCCGCCATAGCCATGGCCTCCCATTCCTAAAAGCAAAACAGGTCCATGAAGGCATAACTGACTCTTGACTGAGGATATGTGCTGCCTCCTCTAAAAAAGTAAACTACAATTGCGGTACCGTAAGCGAGCCAATCAGTTCCTGTACTAACGATAGAACTAGAGACAGTGTATACCATTTCTTGTATCCAACTGTTTATAAACAGGATACTGAAAACATCAAAGCCCTCTTCTCTAGCTGAGTCTACAACAGACAGCTGAACAACAGGGTAACATTTTTTCTTACCTCTCCCATCTCTCATTCTGTCATCATAGCCATCATTTCCATAGGCATAATTGTTATAGCCACCATACTCATCAAAGCCACCATATCCTGTGAGATTTAAGAGGGGGACAGACTGTGAAGAGTCTTTAAACACCAAAAGGGATGTTAGCTTAGTGCATAGAACCAAACTGATTTGATATGAAATAGACATTTCTATGTAGATATAACAGGCTCAAAGACATGCAAACCAAGTTTCACTCGTACTTAAAATCTCATTTCAGATGCCTCTCCATATCTTTTCAATCTCAAGTCATATGCCTGGTATAAACAAAGTGAAAGATGACCAGGTTTCACACTTGATATATATTATTATTATACTGTCATTTCTGTATTTCTTGACAAAATGTCAGGAACATGAAAATGACAAGAGCCTGTGGTCATTAGATACACATACCACCGTCATATCCACCATCTCCTCGATGGATTCTGTCATACATACTTCCACGCCCAGCTCCATAATAACCCCCTCTTCCTCCCATTGGTCTATCATATGGTCCGGGTCGCTGTCCCATCATTCTTCGGGGTGGATCATAGAATCCTCGGATTTCACTCCTACTACTTTTGAAGATCTCAATATATCTGAGTAAAAAAAGATTTACAATGTACAAATGTAAGAATACAGATATATAACACTTGGAAAAAATACAATAACTGCACATTTTAAAAATTTTAAATCTAGATATAGCACTGAAGGCAAGTGAGCACTTTTTTCTAGTGTCACTTTTAGGATTTTAGGATATTAAATGCAAAAGCAAGCAGTTCTGTGATTTACTTTACTGACTAAAAATTCTAACTGCAAATTAAATACAGCAAATCTCTGAACCACACTCCCCCCTGCCCCAGTAAAAAGTTCTTTGAAAAAAAATCTGGCTATTGTAGAACACCCTCCATAAACAAACAAACAAAACTAGCCCAATTTTAACAAGCTACATAGTATTATCAATCCCCCTCCCACCATATCTATTTTACTCCCAGTTACTTAGGGTGTTTTTGTTAAAAAAAATAGCCAGTTGATTTACGTACCCCAGCCCCCCAAAAGCAATTCTGACCCCCAACCCCCACAAAATATTTACCATCCCAAACTCTCCATCCCCACCTGTGCCCTATTCTTTCCTTGTGTTTCCCCAGAGCTTTTTCTGCTATCTCCTTTGAAGCAAACTGCACGAAGGCCTCCCCTGTGCTTCTCCCCTGGTAGTCCAGCGTCAATGTTATCCCATTTGGCACGATTTCCAACCCTTTAACCCAAGGACAAATAACCCCATCAAGGGGAAGAGTGTTAAAGTCTGAAACATTCCCATCTGTAGAAAATACTTAAAGCAAATCTACACAAATGCAAGAAAATAGCTTAGCTTCCCCCCAACCCAAATACACAGGCTAAAGAGTTTTCATTTAGACATTGTATTACTGTCTCTTTGTTCAGATTACACAGCAACAGCTACATCACAAAGAACCCACCTATACTGCATGATGTCATAACTACATACTCCAAATTCTAACTCCTAATAAGCTATCTAAATGTGTACATTTTTATCCTGCCAATGCAAACTCTTTACTTTTTAGTAGAGTTTTAACAAAGAATACCAACATTAGTAATCTAAATTTTAAAGACTGATTCCCCCTCCCCCAAGAATACTAATAAAATTTTAAGCTGTTTCAAATATCAATCTTGCAGACATAGAAACACTGAAAGTCACTTGACATTAACACTAGAGCTACCTTGAAAGAACTGAACGATCTCCTCCTTGCTGCAGCCAAATGGCAGACCACGCAATCGTACTGTTCCATCACTAGATGAATCATTTGGACCATTATGTTTCCCAGCCCAGTCCATTTTGCTGTTTAAAATCAAACACCATAAAAAACATAAACAGCAAATTTAGCATTTGAGAATGACGATTCACCCCCAACCCCTTCCTAAGCAGGACTGTATACATTAGAAACATCTTGAACTTTTAAAAAAATGCAACAACTGCTCAGAGTATAATGCTGTGATAATTTACAACTACCATTGTCTTGAACTCATACAGAACTAGCATGACCTGCTCATGCAACCTGCCACATAGCTATTCTCAAGACCTCGACTGATAGGCATCTACCTATGAAGACAAATTCTACTACTGAATACTTAGTTCCTCCCTCTCACATTTTCCCAGCCATTTCAATACACATATTCAATCACTGCAAAGGGCACTATTTTTAAATTCATACTAATGCAGGCCAGTGAAGCCACAGCAAATTGTTTCCCAAAAATACATATGAAATAAATGCATGCTTCTCAATCTGCATACAAATCTCATGGGTGTTCATTCCAATGCCAGCTACAAGGGCCAAGGCAGCAGTCCTACAGGGCTTAGGACTAGAATTCTCACAATTAAATAAATGGAAAGACAGTCAAACAACTAATTCTAGGGGCAGAGGTCGACAGGTAAAAGATAACATTAAGCTAACAGGGGAAGGGAAATGAATTTGATTGTGTGCACAAGAGGCTGCATTATCCCAGCAACATAAAACACCAGCAAAATAGAAAAGCAACGTTCATGTTTTTTTTAATTCATTGAAATGGTAAGGTGCAAATGCAAAGTAATACTCGGTAGTCTGTATGGGAGTATGTCTATGCATAGTGTGTACATACAATGTAAAAACTGCACAAGTGGAGAGAGCCAGGAAGTACATTTAATGATACAATGGCTAGTAAGTTCAAAGAACAATTCACATACCTGCAGACATTTCCTCCACTACAATTAGACCAGCATCTTTCCACTTTAATCTTACCCAAAGTAGAGTCCCTCCAAATGTTTTGGACTATAGTTCCCAGTATAAATTATCTAAAAATACTGTATTTACAATTTTGTTTATGAAGTATTGGTTGGTGGGGTAGAACAATTTATTTTGAGTTGAAGCTCCACCTACAACTACAGGAAAGAGTAGATTTTTCTAACATTAAAGAAAAGTTATAATGGGAAAAATATTCTGCCCAGAATAATTTGTGCTTTAGATCTCAGCTTGTAATAGAGTTTGACTTTTTCCCACGCTAAGGTAGACTAGAGATATCAGGAAAAAAAATTATATTCTTAGCGCACACATTTGGGGATTTCACAAAATGAGGAAAAATGGATTTGCTACACATACTAAAAACATTTCATAAGATTGCCACTTTAGTGAATTTTCTTGTAGAAAAAGTATCCCACCGTAATACACAGCATAAGATATAATGACAATAAGGAGGAAAAGGTAGCAGTACAAGAAGTTCATAACACTGTCGCTACAAAGCAGATTTTGCAGAGCCTGCTAAAGTCTGGTTCTTTGGGCCTCATTTATATTACTCATAATGTTAATCCCACAAGTTCTTGGAGAAGGGGAAAATTTGACCAGTGTATTAAAATAAAGCTCTATGCCCTGGGTTCTCTTTGCACCTACCAAGTTCCACACTACACCTAAATATTTTTATATTTCTTTAAAATATCCATCCACCCAAACAAGCCACAAAGCAAAATGCTAGACTTAGGCATTAATTTTAGTTTGAGGTAAAAGCTTAAGTGGAATGCCAATCTCAGCAGCTTACATTTTGAAACTAAAGTCTCCATGACTACCCATACCTTCTAAAGCCACCATACTAAAGTAACACATATTATCAGGTATTTTCCAGATTACAAAGGCAGGAGACTGTTTAGCTTTAGATAACAAAGGAGACTCTTTAGAAATGTTCTCAGATTTCAACCCAAATTTCCAGAAAGATTTTAAACTCTATTAAAATAGGAATGGAGTACTCTTAGGGAAATTTTTTATAGATTTTCTGTGACTGGAGTTGTCTGTTTCTATTTTATGACTGGAACAGTGTTTAATTAGGAAGACAGCAATTAGCATCAAAAGATACCAAACTTACCCATTCATATCAGTTTTACTGTTCTCTAGTGCAATGGTTTATGAAAAAATTAGATGAAAGTGCTACTTGCATTTCTACTACTTAGGAAGTTCACAATGGAAAAATTCGTTTTTATCAGACTTCACTACAAATGCTTCTTTAAGATTCCCTACAATGGTGTCTTACCTTAAACAGCTCCTATTTTACATGTTTAATTTCTCCTCAAATGCCCAAAGCAGAGGTGGCAGCACGCTAAAAAAATCTGATTTTACAGCCTTGAAAAAAAACAAACCCAATAAAGCACAGCTACAGCTAGTAACATGTTACCAAACCCTGGTTTATAAACCCATTACCTGGTTTAGAGACCCCTTTTCACCAAAGTTCTGTGTAGGCCAAGTCTCTCCCAGCAGCCCATACATACTAAGTCAACTGCACCAATTTTTATTCTCAATATCTTTAAGTTCAACTAAAACTGTGTCATAAAGCGTTGAAAGTTTTCCATTTGTTCAACATGAATGGGAGCTTCACCATCAGAGCAAAATGCATTCTAAACATTATCTCTAAAAAAGTTGATAAACCGAATCAATTAAAACAGCCAGGGATGGTCAAAGAAGGGGGAAACTTGGGAGGAGCAAATGCCACTGGTAATACCAGAAGGAAATTGTGGTTCTCCATCTTCCGTCTTCTGAAAGTCATTATGCAGTGCATAGTCGTGAAAATGCATATTATGATGCAAGTAGTTATTCCAGAGCTGCAGTCTCATTTTCTCTTCCTGAAAGTGAGATCTTCAAGTCTTTCACAACAAAAAAAAAGGTCACACACATATGCAGAATTATTCTTAGGCTGGGCTTTTATTCCAGGCAGTTTACACACTCAAAAATAAATTCAAATCTCAGCTGAATCAACAGATTTTCCCCCCAGGTTTTTTTCATATAAGGCATAGGTGTTTTCGCCACAACATGACTTCCACAGACTTCCTCTTCCTTATATCAATCTCCCATTTCCAATACAAAGCTTAGAAAGAATAGCAAGAATAGTTTTAAACCAACTAAAAAATAGGATCTTTGGTATGTACAGGTATGGCTGGATGTTATTTCACAATCAACATGGTTCCAGTTGATAATGTAGGAAATAACAGAACATTCCTTATTTTCCTACTGTTTATCATTAGCAGAATCTTTAACTCTACAACAGTAGGAAAATTACTGGTTCTTAAACATTCACTGGAACATACAGCCTTAATAGAACTTTGGGGTAATGCAATGTGTTATGTATTCTTAGACCAGCTTTGTAGCTTTCCAATATAGTATCTTAGTTAATAAAAACATATCCATTGTTTATCAGAATAAGGAACCTAGATTATTTTTACATGACCCATAGATGTAGACTTTCTTTTAAGAGACTGTAATAAAGGAAAAATATTTAAAAGCACTTGAGAAAATTGAATTGTATGATAAAGTATATTATATACAGAATTTAACATGCATACTTATCTGAAAGAATTGTAATTATTCTACACCCCCCCCAATATATATATATATATTTCAAATCACCCAAATTAAACTGCTCTATTCCACCAACCAATTAAGAAAATCTGAAATAACTATGAAGTTTCATTGTGGAGGGTAGCAGAACACTTTACTCCAGCCCTGGGCATGGAATAATCATATTTGCTTTCACTGTGTTTTTTAGTAGTTCTTTTCAATCAAATCATGAGTTATTGATATACTGTACACACGCTCTCATACTCCAATGAAGACATTTCTCACAATTAATATAGAACTGCAGCATTAAAGAAAGTCACTCCCTCTTTCCTGCTGTATAGGTTTAATCTTTTTGGGACTAATATCTTTATTGTATTTAATTAGCAATGTACATTGAAAACATGTTCAAAACCCCAATTGTTTCACAAAATTAATTAGAAATATAATGAACAAAAGAGAAATCAAAATGACTAGCAAGAACATGTTACTTAACAAATCTGAAATTATTTTTTTTTTACTATCTCTACAACACACACATGAATTTTAGGCATTGTAAAATAAATACATTTACAATTTCCAATTCATTCATATTTTTCTTAATATAAAAATGTGAATTAAAACATCAGAGTTATATTCTATTTATGTGGAACAAACAGTTGTTTTCCTGTTGAAGATTGCAATTCCTCTGGAACAATCTGTTGGGAACAAGCCAATGGTGGGGGCCAGAGTAAAAAAGAACCCTCCAGACAACCATCAAAAGTGCTTTTTCAAAAGGTAACTGGTCTGTTTTTTCCTTGAGTGGGAAGAACAAAATCATACTGTTTCTCATCCAAGAAGTTTTAATTGTGATGACCAAAGACATCATTTAGATGTTCAGGTCTCATCAGTTGTAATGTTCCACAAACACCCAGACACCCATCCTGACCCTCCCTCTTTTCTTTCCTAAGCCACAAAGCCAGTAAAGATATATAAATTCTTGGTCAAGAGTTGAACTTAAGCCTTTTTTGACTACTAATGAATTAGTCTCAACTAAACAACACATACAGATGTTGTCAAAACCACATTTACACTAAATCTGTGCTCACTTACCTGAAAGTAAGCAATACTGAACTCAATGGATATCACTTCTGTAAATGGACTTTACTATATCTTTCCTGTAATTGTTTATCTAAACTTGATTGCTACAGATTTGTTATTTACACAGTATATACAATTAGTTTTACTTACCAAATGCCACCATTCTGATCTCCTATTTTATATCTACTAATTCAGTAAGATCTTATATTACTCAAAAATAATTTCCAGTTTGTTCAATGAAGTTTATTTCCATGTTTAATATTGTTTTAAACAACTAAACTTTATAGGTAGTCCTTAACTTGCGAAAGGTCATATAACAACTATTGAGGTACAACAGCTTTGGAAAATGTGTTTTATGGCCTGTAAAGCACTTTGAGCAGTCATAGAATCTCATCACAATCAAATGGCCACATTTCGGGCACTTGGCAACCGGCTCACATTTAAGACTGGCTGCAATATCCTGTGGTCACATGACTGGAACTTGTGGCTTTTATGTTCAGTTTCCATCATTTTCTGTAGTTTCCTGCAAAAAAATTACCCATTCAGGAGAATGGATTTGGGCTTATAAATGTAATTTGCTTGACACTATAAACAAAGGTTACAAAGATTCTTAAAAAAAAACTGGTCCAGTCAATAGCTATCTGAACTTAGAATCAAAATTTTGGGGTCAATTGCATTTGTAAGCTAAGGACTACCTGTAAAGACTTCTTGTACTTATTAATAAACAACTGCTTTTTTGTACTGCCAAACTTATATCTATAAAGTACCACTTAAGATCAAATTCTTGATATACTGATCAGTATTTTGAACTTCAGATTAAAACATGTAAAGCACTATAGAACCACAGAATAATATAAATTGTTTATGAAAATAAATTAAATTTTCCCATACATGTAAGCAGAGAAGGTGCCTCACAGATTTAAAGGCACTTGGTGTGCCTTTTACTGAAATGACATTGTGCAATCAATGCAGGCTTTGAAAAATAGTTTACTATTTAACAAACTGCCTTAAAACTTTCCTAGTATAGGCACAATTATTTTAGATAAATCAATTATGTTATTTTAAATAATAAATTAAACTGGAAATTAGATTAGCTTCACTCCTCTTGATGTTTTGGTTTTGTCACGAGGCCGGAGATATATTTAGATGGCTCCGCTATTGAGGTGGATCTCTACCCATTCTCTTTCCGCTTCGGGCTTGTATAATTATAACTTTACTTAACTTTTAACATTGACGTTTTAAATGTTTGTTATATATTTGCTGCTCTTGATTTAATTATTGTATACTGCATGGCTATATAAATTTGATGAATAAATAACTCTGAAATAGGGTAAACTGCCTAGAGCCAGGCACCATATACTTTTGGTAAATATTCCTACAGGTTAATAATACAAGGCTACGGACACCCTAGCCCTGCTTAAGCATCACCTTCTTGTGTTCAGTAGAATATACAAATATTTCTGCTTGAACTGGCTTCCAGCTTACATGTACTGCACACAGAGAGACTGCTAAAAACAACCACACTTTTAAGTGATCAGGGCTCCCCAAACTTGGCAACTTTAAGACTTTTGAATCAGGGTCCCCAAACTTGGCAACTTTAC